CGTTACCACCGCAGCCACGCCCACCCAATGGGCCACACCCACCCAATGGGCCACACCCACCCGGCACCCGCCGATGCATGTGGGTTTTGGGTTGCAGTTTGGGCACTCGGTCTCTAAAAGGTTTGCCATCGCTGGTATAGGGTTTCCTGCCTGAGCAGGGGGTTGGATTAGATGACCTCCAAGGTCCCTTCCAACTTTATTTTATTGTTGTTGTTGTTATTATTATGAAATGGTGTAGGGTTTCCTGCCTGAGCAGGGGGTTGGACTAGATGACCTCCAAGGTCCCTTCCAACTTTATTTTATTATTGTTGTTGTTATTATTATGAAATGGTGTAGGGTTTCCTGCCTGAGCAGGGGGTTGGACTAGATGACCTCCAAGGTCCCTTCCAACTTTATTTTATTATTATTACTGTTGTTGTTGTTATTATTATTATGAAATGGTGTAGGGTTTCCTGCCTGAGCAGGGGGTTGGACTAGATGACCTCCAAGGTCCCTTCCAACTTTATTTTATTATTATTACTGTTGTTGTTATTATTATTATTATGAAATGGTGTAGGGTTTCCTGCCTGAGCAGGGGGTTGGACTAGATGACCTCCAAGGTCCCTTCCAACTTTATTTTATTATTATTACTGTTGTTGTTGTTATTATTATTATGAAATGGTGTAGGGTTTCCTGCCTGAGTAGGGGGTTGGACTAGATGACCTCCAAGGTCCCTTCCAACTTTATTTTATTATTATTACTGTTGTTGTTATTATTATTATTATTATGAAATGGTGTAGGGTTTCCTGCCTGAGCAGGGGGTTGGACTAGATGACCTCCAAGGTCCCTTCCAACTTTATTTTATTATTGTTGTTGTTATTATTATGAAATGGTGTAGGGTTTCCTGCCTGAGCAGGGGGTTGGACTAGATGACCTCCAAGGTCCCTTCCAACTTTATTTTATTATTATTACTGTTGTTGTTGTTATTATTATTATGAAATGGTGTAGGGTTTCCTGCCTGAGTAGGGGGTTGGACTAGATGACCTCCAAGGTCCCTTTCAACTTTTTTATGATGATAATGATGATGATGATGATGATGATGATGAAATGGTGTAGGATTTCCTGTCTGAGCAGGAGTTGGACTAGATGATCTCCAAGGTCCCTTTCAACATTATTATAATTATCATTATTATTAAGTTGAATGTATGAATGGGACACGCAACACAAGCAACTTTATATATATATATAAAATCTTGTATTAATTTTCCAATTTTACATTTGAGTATTTAAAAAGCAGCGTGGTGACCAGGTTAGTCAATAGTTCAAGAACAAAATCCTTAGTGCAAATCTCAGGTTACAACATCAGATATTTCTTCTCTTTTTCCCTTCACATTCACTATCTGGTATTCAAGCGAGTATATTTCTAATTACATCCACTCCATAAAAATGCCATTATTGCATTTACTGATAGATTTTTGGCTTATACCTGTCTTAATTGCATTCAATCTTCACAAACGATCCCTATCCTGTTATTAATTTTACATCATTTTTAGCTTCTCATCCATATTCCAATTTAACCTTTAATGTCCATACTTTTCAGACTCCGGGTCACCCAGATTTTTCCCTTATCTCACTTCATAACAAACTATAATATCCAAAACACACATTTTATCTATTGGAACACGATCTTGTTCTACTTGCTAAGAGTTATCTATTTCCCACCATTTTAAATCATCGACTTAATAATACAATATCAGCTACACAAGCCACTTTGGACTCCCAGCGTCCAGAGGCAAGGAAATGGCGTGTCCCCAACTGACCAAGCTGCTTTTCTAATTTTTTTCCCTACTCAGGGAACACCACACCCTCCTGGGTTAATGGTTATCCAGACAAACAAGCTGGCTGGACTTTTACCTGGCCAAAATCACCCCAAAGGAGATTACGATACACAGTGGGGGAGGAAGCAAATAAATAAATTAAAAAATAAATACATTTTAAACCTTCATTTCCCCCCCCCCCTCTTTTAATGCTCTCCTCCTAACCCTGTTACATTAGCCTTAATTTATGTTGGCTCTGCTGGGGAGAAAAATCAGGTTGTATTTAGAAGTGCAAATATCTTGGTTTACAGCAGGCCTGGGAGAGGAAGACTCATGGACTGCAACTCCCAGAATTCCCCAGCCAGCCCCATGCTGGCTGGGGCATTCTGGGAGCTGAAGTCTACAAGTCTTCAAAGCTGTCAAGCTTTGCAATCAGCTACATGTCTGAAAAAGAATGAAGAATGAAGGCAGGCATCTGGCTCAGAGACGGTCGAAGTTCATTTTCCACTCCAGCTAGTCCTCATTTAGTGACCGATGTTAGAACAGCCCTGAAACAAGCAACTGACGGCCGTTTTTCACCCTTACAACTGTCACAGCGTCCCTGTGCTCACCTGGTCAACTACTCAGACATTTGGCATTTATAAAGTTGGAAGGGACCTTGGAGGTCATCTAGTCCAACCCCCTGCTCAGGCAGGAAACCCTATACCATTTCATATTTATGACAGTAGCAGCGTTCCTGGGGGTCACATGACCCCCCCTTTGGTGACCTCCTGACAAGCAAGGGGAAGCTGGATTCACTTAACGACCATGCTCCTAACTTAACAACTGCAGTGTTTCACTTAACAAGACAGGTCATAAAGCAGGGCCAAAACTCTCTTTGCAACTGTCTTGTTTAGCAACCTACGGCTCACCTGTAGGTCACAAGCCGAGGTCAGCCCTAAAGCCGTCCAACGCACGAAGGCTCTATTTTGTCAGCAATTCGCAGGCATTTTGGCTGGGGTCTCATCCAGCCCGAAACTTGCAAAAGTTGAGAAAAAAGAGAATTTCACGCCAGGGCGACTGGGGGAGTTCCACGCGAGGCCGAATCAAGCCCAGTTTTGGCGGGGTGGCGCATTCCGACGACCCCAGGTCCCGAAACGGGACGGATCCGAGGAAGCGTGTTCGTGTGAACGCAGCACATTCGAAGCGCTTCACGGGACCCGGAGGCGCCGCCCCGCTTCAACCGGGGTCTCTACTCGGAAGTAAGCCCCGCCCCCGTCCACGCCCGCTCTTCCCCCGCCCCTTCGCAGGCCACCCCCGACCCAACTTTTTTGAGGGGAAAAGCGGCACGGCGAGGCCATCCGATCGAGCCCAGCTCCGGCCCACGGGGGGGGGGAGGGGGCGTGGCCGTGCCAATGCACGTAAATCGATGCAAACGCGAGGAAAGACACGCGAATGCACGCGTACGCAGGCAAACACGAGGAAATGCACGCGAAGAGGAAAGAGGATTTGTAGATCCGGATTTCTGGGCTGGGGGTACTCGGCTGCTTTCTCGCAGGCTTTGGGGCGCTGAGGGTCGCGGACGCCCCACCCGCGGGAAAAAACTCTGGGGTAGTGGGGATGGGGGTGCCTAGCTGGGTCATGGAACGTCTGAGAGGGAACCACCAGGTTCAGACAACACCAGGGACCCCAAAGCCTTCTTCCTCCTCCTCCTCCTCCCCCCAAACCTCCCTCCCTTTTAGCACTGATGATGTTCCCTAGGTGGGCCCCGAAAAGTCTGCCAGAAGACCCCCCCCCATGCCAAGCTCAGAGAGCACCCAGGACCCCACAAGTCCTCCTCCTCTTCCTCTTCCTCTTCCTGCCCCCTCCTCCTGCAAACCCCCGCCCCTTCCACCATTCATGATGTTCCCTAGTCAGGTGCTGAAACGTCTGCCTGAAGACCCCCGCTCAAAGCTCAGAAAGCACGGAAGACCCCCACAGTCCTCCTCCCCCTCTTCCCCCCCCAAACCTCCCTCCCTTCTAGCCGTGATGATGTTCCCTAGTCAGGTGCTGAAACGTCGACCTGAAGACCCCCCCACCCCCAAGCTCAGAGAGCCCCCAGTCCCCAGAGTCCACCTGCTCCCTCTCCCACTACTCCTCCTCCTCTCTCCTCCCCCTCTCTGAAGACCCCCCCCCCAAAGCTCAGAGAGCAGCCAGGACACCACAGCCCCCCCCCATCTCCTCCTCCTCCACAACCCCCTTCTGGCACTGATGATGTGCCCTAGTTGGGTCATGAAACGTCTGCAAGAAACCCACCCATCTCAGAGAGCACCCAGGACCCCCCAATTCTCCTCCTCCCCCTCCCCTTCGTCCTCCTCCTCCTCTCCACACATCCCACTCCTGTCAAACGTTGATGATGTTCCCTAGTTGGGTCATGAAACGTCTGCAAGGGAAAAAAAACCCAGCTCAGAGAGCACCCAGGACCTCACAGTCCTCCTCTTTCTCCTCCTCCTCCTCCTCCTCTTGCACATCCCACTCCCGTCAAACATTGATGATGTTCCCTAGTTGGGTCATGAAACGTCTGCAAGGAAAAACTCCCAGCTCAGAGAGCACCCAGGACCCCACAGTCCTCCTCCTCCCCCTCCCCTCCCCCTCCCCCTCCTCTCCGCACATCCCACTCCCGTCTAGAACTGATGATGTTCCCTAGTTGGGTCATGAAACGTCTGCAAGAACAACCCCCCCCCGCAGCTCAGAGAGCACCAAGGACCCCCCACAGTCGTCGTCATCGTCGTCCTCCTCCTCCTCGCAAACCCCCCTCCCTTCCATCATTCATGATGTTCCCTAGTCGGCTCCCGAAACGTCTGCCTGAAGACCCCCCCCCCGTCTAAAGCTCAGAAAGCAGCGAAGCCCCTACAGTCCTCCTGCCAACCTCCCTCCCGCCAACCCGGATGACGTTCCCTAGTCGGGCCCCGAGACGTCTGCCAGAAGAAAGACCCCCCCACCCCCACCCCAAAGCTCAGAGAGCCCCCCTTCCCCTCCCCTCTCTTCCCCCCTCCCTCCCTCCCGCCGTCCGGGCTCCGCTCGGGCAGGCAGCCCCACCTGCAGCTGCCCCCCCCACGTGGGGGGCGCCCCACACCTGGTCGGGGCGGGGCGGGCGGGCGGCCAATGGGGCGGCGCGGGGGGCGTGTCCGGGCGGGGCATAAAAGGCCAGGTAGCGGCCGGTGGTGGTGGGCGGCGGCGGCAGGCGATTGGCGGGCGCGCGCGTGGGCGAGGGGCCGGCGGGAGCGGCCGTTGCTGATTGGGCGGGGGCGGCGCGAGGAGCGAGGGTGTGTCCCCGGGCACGAGGCGCGGGTTCGGCGGCCGGAGCAGCGGCGGCGGCGGCGGAGGCACCAACGGGCGGCGGCGGCAGCAGCACCGGCGCGGGGATGCTGAGCGAGGCGGAGAGCGGCGGGGCCCTTCCCGCCACCGGCGAGATTCCCGCGGGGGAGCCCGCGGCCGGCGTGGCCAAAGCGGCGGCGCCCACCGGGGGCGTCCCGGCTCGGAGCCAGGCGGCCAAGCGCGTCCTAGGTGAGGGGGCGGGGCCGCGGGAGGAGCCGTTGCCGGGGGGGGGGAGAGAAGGAAGGACGCGGGGCGGGGCGGGCGGAGACCCTCGCGTGGGCGGCCGCCCGGCGTCGCCCGGACTACAGGTCCCATCGTCCGGAGTGACGGCAGGCGAGCTGGCTGGCCGTCCGCTGCGGCTGGGCGTGATGGGTTTTTCCCGGGTGGGGGAGGACTACAGGTCCCATCGTCCGGAGGGACGGCAGGCCAACTTTCTGGCCACCGCTGCGGCTGGGCACGATGGGCTTTTCCCGGGTGGGGGAGGACTACAGGTCCCATCGTCCGGAGGGACGGCAGGCGAGCTGGCTGGCCACCGCTGCGGCTGGGCACGATGGGCTTTTCCCGGGTGGGGGAGGACTACAGGTCCCATCGTCCGGAGGGACGGCAGGCCAGCTTTCCTGGCCACCACTGCGGCTGGGCACGATGGGCTTTTCCCGGGTGGGGGAGGACTACAGGTCCCATCGTCCGGAAGGACGGCAGGCCAGCTTTTCCGGCCACCGTTGCGGCTGGGCGTGATGGGTTTTTCCCGGGTGGGGGAGGACTACAGGTCCCATCGTCCCGCGGGACGGCAGGCCAGCTTTTCTGGCCACCGCTGCGGCTGGGCGTGATGGGTTTTTCCCGGATGGGAGAGGACTACAGGTCCCATCGTCCGGAGTGGCGGCAGGCGAGCTGGCTGGCCGTCCGCTGCGGCTGGGCGTGATGGGTTTTTCCCGGCGCTTGTCCGGACTGGCGGGTATGGGCTGGCGCAGGAGTCCAGCTTTTCTGGCCACCGCTGCGGCTGGGCGTGATGGGTTTTTCCCGGATGGGAGAGGACTACAGGTCCCGTCGTCCGGAGGCGTGGGAGGTGAGCTTTCTGGCCACGCTGCGGCTGGGCATGATGGTTTTTTTCCCGGCGCTTGTCCGGACTGGCGGGTGGGAAGTGGGGGCGCCGCAGGAGTCCCATCATCCGGAGTCGCCGCAGGTGGGCTCTCTGGCGGCCGGCTGGGCATGATGGGTTTTCACGCCGCTTGTCCGGACTGGCGGGTGGTGGCGCAGGACTATAGGTCCCATCAGCCGGAGTCGTGGGAGGTGAACTTTCTGGCGGCCGGCTGGCCATGATGAGTTTTTCAGGGCGCTTTTCCCAACTGGACGGTTTGGACGGGGGGGGGGTCACAGGACTCCAGTTCCCATTTCCAGCCACGCGGAAGGTGGGCTTCGGAGCAGCCAGAGCACGCCTCTATCCTCGGGACTGCGCGGCTGGGCATGATGGGTCGCGGGGCAGCCGCGGGAGTTTTCTCAAACTGGAGGAGGAGGAGGAGGGGGGGCGGCGCGGCGCAGGACTACAGTTCCCATTTCCAGCCGCGCGGAGGGTGGACTTTCTCGAGAAACCGTGCTGACTTCGGGACTGCGCGGCTGGGCATGATGGGCGGCGGGGTAAGCCGCGGCGGCTGCTTTCCCGGACTGGCGAAGGGGAGGCGGGGAGGAACAGTCCGGGGAGGGGGGAGGGGGAGGGAGGCCGGGGGTCCCGCTGAAAACTGGAACTTGCGCTGCGCTTGGGGGGGGTCTTTCTTGCTCCGAATTGCACCGATTCGCTTGCTTTTTGGAGCAAGCCTTAGTCCCCCGAGCCCCCTCCCCTAATTCCCCAGCGTGGGGTCCGCAATGAGCGGGTGGCAGGTGCTCTCACGTGTCTGGGAGTTCCAGAGGCTGCTAAGACTCCCCCAGCTACCAAGAGGCCAGGATATCAACAGCCAGCCGGGTGTCCTTGACCAGGATGATGGGCTCCAGCTGGCCTTGGGGGGGGGGCAGGGGGAGGAAAATGGCTCCAAAACTAGCAGCTCTTTTTTTCGGGGGGGGGGGCACAGAAAGGTCCTTTGGCCAGTGTCACCAGTCTTCTCTCTTTCTTCCCTGATCCCCCCCCCCTCGGCTTCCAGCCACCCAGGTACAGGGCACTGTGAAGTGGTTCAACGTCCGCAATGGCTATGGATTTATAAACAGGTGAGTTTTCCCCCTCCTGGAAGGTGTAAAAAAAGCAAAAACCTTTTAACTGGGAGGGGTTTTATTTTATTTTATTTTATTTTATTTTATTATTTTATTTTATTTTATTATTTTATTATTTTATTTTATTTTATTATTTTATTTTATTTTATTTTATTTTATTTTATTTTATTTTATTTACAAAGCCTCCAGGTCAGGGGGTCTTCTAACTCAGCCACTCCCACCATTCTGGGAGTTGAAGTCCACCAGTCTTAAAAGTGGCCACGTTTGAAGACACCCCCCCCCACACACACCTGGTCTGGATGGACATTATCTTTGCTTGTCTTGCAATGGGGAGGGGAAGGTTTAAAGAAAAAAAAAACAACCACAAAATTCATCATGGTTTAATCATGGTTAATTAAGCCACTTGTTGGCCGTGTTCAGCTGTTAACTTTGGGGGTCCAATGAAGAACCCAACCAGGAGATTCTCTCCATTGGGGTGGTTCTTTGTAACAAGCTGGCCTTCCTTAGTGGGGGAGGGTGTGTGTGTGTGTGTGTGTGTGTGTGTGTGTGTGTGTGTTATAATTCAAGATGGGGCCCGATCCCCCCGGGGGTTTTGGCATTTCTACCCCTACTGTGGTCACGGCGTGGGTCAAGCCTAAATTAACTCCCAAAGGCGGCTTGTCTGAAGCCTAAATTAACTCCCAAAGGTGGCTTGTCTGGAGAAGCTCAGAGCTCCTACTTCGTGTCAACTTCCTTCTCCTGGGGAGAAAAGCAACTGAGTCAGGAGACCAAAGTTTACCTGGCAAAGGTGACGGCTGGTCAGATGACCTGCTATCGTTGTTGTCGTTTTTTCCCACCCCCAGTTTGTGTGGTTTGTGAAAGCTGGCTTGCTGGGCTGCCCTGCCAGAGAGACCAATGTTTGTCGGAGGTGGCCTTAAGCAAACAGCTAGCCGGGCCAAGTTGGAATAGCCGGCAGGCCTTATCTCTGGGGTCTGTCCTTGTACCAAGATGCCCCCTTGGGCTGCTCTGCTTATGCTTTAGGGAAGGGGCGAAGCGCCCCAGGCCCCTGTGCCCTGCTTTTGGGACCAGGCTGATGGGGCAAGGCTTCCAGCAAAGTCACAAAGTTCTCTTTCCCTGGGGTCCTTGGTGCTCTCTGAGCTTGCTGGTTTTCTGGCAGACGTTTTAGGACCCAGCTAGGGAACATCATCAGTGCTAGAAGGGGGTGGGTGGGTTTGCAAAATGGAAGGAGGAGGAGGAGGAGGAGGAGGAAGGCAAAGGGGAGGGGGAGGGGGACTGTGGGGTCCTTGGTGCTCTCTGAGCTTGCTGGTTTTCTGGCAGACGTTTTAGGACCCAGCTAGGGAACATCATCAGTGCTAGAAGGGGGTGGGTGGGTTTGCAGCATGGAGGGAGAAGGAGAAGGAGGTGGAGGAGGACTGTGGGGTCCTTGGTGCTCTCTGAGCTTGCTGGTTTTCTGGCAGACGTTTTAGGACCCAGCTAGGGAACATCATCAGTGCTAGAAGGGGGTGGGTGGGTTTGCAAAATGGAAGGAGGAGGAGGAGGAGGAGGAGGAGGAGGAGGAGGAGGAGGAGGAGGAGGAGGAGGAGGAGGAGGAGGAAGGCAAAGGGGAGGGGGAGGGGGACTGTGGGGTCCTTGGTGCTCTCTGAGCTTGCTGGTTTTCTGGCAGACGTTTTAGGACCCAGCTAGGGAACATCATCAGTGCTAGAAGGGGGTGGGTGGGTTTGCAGCATGGAGGGAGGAGGAGGAGGAGGAGGAGGAAGGCAAAGGGGAGGGGGAGGGGGACTGTAGGGTCCATGGTGCTCTCTGAGCTTGCTGCTTTTCTGGCAGACATTTTAGGACCCAGCTAGGGAACTTCATCAGTGCTAGAAGGGGGTGGGTGGGTTTGCAGAATGGAGGGAGAAGGAGAAGGAGGTGGAGGAGGACTGTGGGATCCTTGGTGCTCTCTGAACTTGGTGATTTTCTTGCAGACATTTCATGACCCAACTAAGTAACATCATCGGGGCCAGAAAGGAGTGGGTGGGGGGAGGAGAAAGGGGAGAAGGAGGAGGAGGAGGACTATGGAGTCCATGGTGCTCTCTGAACTGGATGGTTTTCTTGCAGACATTTCATAACCCAACTAGGTAACGTCACCAGCGCTAGAAGGGAAGAGGATGTGCTCTCTGTTTGTATACAGCCCCTTCTAGCACTGATGAGGTTACCTAGCTGGGTCATGAGACGTCTGCAAGAAAACCACCCAGCTCAGAGAGCGCTGAGGAGCCCCACAGTCCAATTCCTGAGCTACGAATATTCCGTGTATCTTTCTGTTGGCTTGCTTCTTTTATTTGGGCGGAGCCAGTACTCCTTCCTGGTAGAATTCCACTGGAAACGGAGGGACTTTTTTTCCCCCTCCTGTGGCTTGGAAGATTTAAAACTTTCACGCTGGGCCTCTCTGTGCAGAAGAGGCATCAAGTTGCAAAAAAAAAAAAAAAACAACAACCCGAAAACAAATTTATAATCAATTTGGGGACAAAGGCTAATTGGATGCCGTCCCCTTTGAAGAGAGATAAACCAGGCTTATCGGTGACCTTCATTCCTTTAATTAGTCGGCATAAGCTTTGATCAAGCTGACATCTTTTGGATGTTGGTTTCTAGCTAGACCAGGTTCCCGGGTTTTCCAGTGCTTTGGCCAAGCATAAATGGAGTAGAATTTGGAGACGGGGCTGGTAGGTCTCCTTAAAGCTCCCAATTTCCCTCGTAATTTTAGTCCTGGTTCGATGCAAACAAAGCTCAGCCCGATTAAGGATTTCAAAGTTTCTATTTTTTCCCCTTTCTCTCTCTCTCTCCCCCCCTCCTTTGCAGGAATGATACCAAAGAGGATGTGTTTGTGCACCAGGTAAGAACTAAGCATCGTGTAATGTAATTTCCTTTTTAATTTCCTTTTTTTTCCCCCCATGTCACTGCTCCCTTTAAGCCTTCACCTTGGTCAAAGCGAGGAAATTTTGAGAAATGTTGGTGTTAAAATTGATCCTTGCTTAGATCAACAGTTAACCTTTCCTTTAGATTCGGGGATGTCCAAGGATGTCCAATTCTGGGAGTTGAAGCCCACAGATCTGAAAGTTGCCAAAGTTACCAACACAGATGCAAAATAATGCCCAGCATTAAAAACAGAGAAGAGCAACAAAGATGATTAGGGGACTGGAGGCTAAAACATACAAGGAACGGTTGCTAGAATTGGGTATGTCTAGTTTAACGAAGAGAAGGACAAGGGGGGACATGATAGCAGTATTCCAATATCTCAGGGGCTGCCATAAAGAAGAGGGAATTAAGCTATTTTCCAAAGCGCCTGAAGGCAGGACAAGAAACAACGGGTGGGAACCAATCAAGGAGAGAAGCAACCTAGAACTAAGGAGAAACCTCCTGACAGTGAGAACAATTAACCAGTGGAACCACCTGCCTCCAGAAGCAGTAAATGCTCCAACACTGGAAGTTTTTAAGAAGAGACTGGACAGCCATTTGTCTGAAATGGTGTAGGATTTCCTGCCCGAGCAGGGGCTTGGACTAGATGACCTCCAAGGTCCCTTCCAACTTTACTACTACTACTATTATAAAATTTATCCGTCAACTCGGTTTCGCTTTTCGGCTTACTGTTTTTTTCAGTTTAAAAAGCCCACCTTTCAGGGGCTCTCCTAATAATTCCTGCCAACCCAATAATTCCTCTCTCAGCCAGCAACAGCACCAATTCAGCACAATTTAGCGGTCCCCCCTGGGACTCGCTGATATCCTTATCTCCCTCCCTCGGATAGTAACGAACTCCCTCGTTTAATTGCACGTCTGTCCTTCGCCCGGCTTGCCAGTTCTTAATTGCCTGCCTTGCAAAAAAAAAAAAAAAAATGGGCGGTCTCCCATTTTTTGTGCAGTTGGCTAACTGACTTGTCCAAGTCTTAATTGTCAAAGCCCACAACCAGGGATACACGTCCCGATCCCGCTGGCCTTCTCACAACTTTTTAAAACTTCTCTGTTGTGCCCCAAAGTCCGGTACAGCTCGTTATTCAACTTTACTCTTAGTTAGGTTTAAATTATCTTGCATTTATTTTTCCAGATGCTTTAAACGATATATATATATATATATATATATATATATATATATATATATATATATATATATTTAGCCAGTCCTCAATTATCTTGTTTGTAACGATAATTTGCGTTAATTGATTTTGCAGCCTTAGCTTTGTAACCCGCCCAGGATCACTTGGTTTATTTAATTGGTTTTGTAAATGGTGATTTGCCTTGGCTGTTTTCCAGTTTTAGAATTTGTAGCATGCCCACAATCCCTTGGTTTATTTAATTGGTTTAGATAAACAGAACGGGTGCCAGGTTTTTGGCTTTTCGCTAGACATGTGCACACCTGCAGGCTTGGGAACTTAGCACCATGTACATCAGGGATGTCCAACCCTGGCCACTTTTAACCGCTGTGGATTTCAACTCCCAGAATCCAGCAGTCATCTCGCCAACCTTTCAATCTGAATTGACCTTGTCCTGGGTTATTTTATTTACTTACTGTTGCACTTTGCTGAAGTCCAGGTCTGTTATGTCCTACTGCGTTCCCCTCGTCTAATTAAGAAAGTTAAATTAATTAAAATTAATTAATTTAAATTTAATTAATTTAAAAATTATTTATTTAATTAATTAAATTAATTAAAAAAGATGTTGAGACTCTAGAAAGAGTACAGAGAAGAGCAACAAAGAGGATCAGGGGACTGGAGGCTAAAACATATAAGGAACGGTTGCTGGAATTGGGGATGTCTAGTTTAATGAAGCGAAGGACGAGGGGGGACATGATAGCAGTCTTCCAGTAACTCAGGGGCTGCCCCAAAGAAGAGGGAGTCAAGCTATTCTCCAAAGCGCCTGAAGGCAGGATAAGAAGCAATGGGTGGAAACTAATCAAGGAGAGAAGCAACCTAGAACTAAGGAAAAACTTCCTGACAGTGAGAACAATTAACCGGTGGAACAACCTGCCTCCAGAAGCAGTGAGTGCTCCAACACTGAAAGTTTTTAAGAAGAGGCTGGACAGCCATTTGTCTGAAATGGTATGGGGTTTCCTGCCTGAGCAGGGGGTTGGACTAGGTGACCTCCAAGGTCCCTTCCGAGTCTGTTATTCTTCCTTCCTTCCTTCCTTCCTTCCTTCCTTCCTTCCTTCCTTCCTTCCTTCCTTCCTTCCTTCCTCCCTCCCTCCCTCCCTCCCTTCTCCAACACTGGAAGTTTTAAAGAAGAGACTGGACAGCCATTTGTCTGAAATGGTGTAGGGTTTCCTGCCTGAGCAGGGGGTTGGACTAGATGACCTCCAAGGTCCCTTCCAACTTTACTACTACTACTACTACTACTACTACTATTATTGTTGTTGTTATTATTGTTATTATTATTAAGTTGCCCTCTCAAAACTGCTGAACTGGGGAATTCTGGGATTGTTTGCCAAGTGGCCAAGGTTGGACCCTTGGATGCCCGTACGCCAAAGGTCATTCTGCTTTTTCATGTGGTTTTTTTCCCCCCTAGACGGCGATCAAGAGAAACAATCCTCGCAAATTCCTGCGAAGTGTTGGAGATGGGGAAACGGTGGAGTTTGATGTGGTGGAAGGCGAGAAGGTGCGGGCCGTGCGGTGGGTGGGTGGCTTCACCGGCTACCGAGCAGAGTTGACGGGGTGGGGGGGGGTCTCCCAACTGACCCTCTCCTCTTTTTCTTTTTTTTTAAAAATCTTTCGCAGGGGGCCGAAGCAGCCAACGTCACCGGCCCCGGCGGGGTCCCCGTGAAAGGCAGCCGCTACGCCCCCAACCGCCGTCGCTTCCGCCGGTTTGTCCCCCGTCCCCGGCAGACCCAGATGCCCCCAGATGGTGCCCGGACCGAGGGGGGTGCCGAGACGGTCAGCGAGGGGGAGAGAGCGGACGAGGCGGTACAGCAGCGCCCACGCCGGAGGCGCCCCCCGCCTTTTTTCTTCCGCCGGAGATTTGTGAGGGGGCCCCGGCCTCAGGCCCAGCAGGCCCAGATGGTGGAAGTGAGTCTGGGGGCTACAGAGCCGGTCCCGGGGGGGGGGGTCAAAAAAGAGACCCTCTTTCGTCCTTTGGACTTTTTGTGCCACATCATTCCCTCCTCTCCCCTCTTCCAGTCCTGCTCTGGTAAGAATGAACCCAGTTGGACCCCCCCACACACAAACACACACACACCCAAAAAGGGGAAGGGGCTTTTGCAGCTCCAGCAAAAGCAAAGGCTGAGAGTCTATGCCAGCGTTTCCCAAACTTGACCATTTTAAGGCATGTGGACTTCAACTCCCAGAATTCCACAGCCAGCAATGCTGGCTGTGGAATTCTGGGAGTTGAAGTCCACATGCCTTAAAATTGTCCAGGTTGAGAAACACTGGTCTATGCCAAAGTCTCTTCCCCAGCCGGTGTCTTTGGTTTTGAGGGTGATCTGTGTGGGGGTTTCCCCTGGTTTTGGGGTGCAGTGGGAGGAGGGGTCTGGGTGGGGAAGGGTCTTTGCTGGCTTCTTGCACTGTTGATGGAAGAAACCTTTTGGGACGAGGGGCAGATTTGGCCCTGGAGAACGGGCCATCCTGCCCCTGTCGCCGTTTCATGGCTCCGTTGTTTCTCTTCCTGCTTGGCTGATGTGTCTTTTGGATGTTTTTTTGGGGGGGGGCTTTGATGAGATTTCCCCCCCCCCACTTCCCAGCCCTCCCAGAATTCCAGATGTGCCAGAGGCTGGACATCTCTCTCAGCTCGGACCCCATCTGGAACGGCGTAGGGTTGAGCAGGGGCTGGACTAGAAGACCTCCAAGGTCCCTTTTAGCTCTGTTCTGGTTACTTTATATATTTGTGTCTGAAATGGTACAGCGTTTCCTACTTGAGCAGGGGGTTCGACTAGAAGACCTCCCAGATCCCTCCCAGCTCTGTTTTTCTGTTGTTACGCTGTGTGGAACAGACTAGGGGCTCCCCCTTGAGCAGCGGGCTGGACTAGATGACCTCCGAGGTCCCTTCCTGCTCGGTTGTACTATGATTCTGTAAGGGGCTCCCGCTTGAGCAGGGGGCTGGACTAGATGACCTCCGAGGTCCCTTCCAGCTCTGTTATTCCATGATTCTGTAAGGGGCTCCCGCTTGAGCAGGGGGCTGGACTAGATGACCTCCGAGGTCCCTTCCAGCTCGGTTGTACTATGACTCTGTAAGGGTCTCCCGCTTGAGCAGGGGGCTGGACTAGATGACCTCCGAGGTCCCTTCCAGCTCTGTTATTCCATGATTCTGTAAGGGGCTCCCGCTTGAGCAGGGGGCTGGACTAGATGACCTCCAAGGTCCCTTCCAGCTCTGTTATTCCATGATTCTGTAAGGGTCTCCCGCTTGAGCAGGGGGCTGGACTAGATGACCTCCGAGGTCCCTTCCAGCTCTGTTATTCCATGATTCTGTAAGGGGCTCCCGCTTGAGCAGGGGGCTGGACTAGATGACCTCCAAGGTCCCTTCCAGCTCTGTTATTCCATGATTCTGTAAGGGGCTCCCGCTTGAGCAGGGGGCTGGACTTGATGACCTCCGAGGTCCCTTCCAGCTCTGTTATTCCATGATTCTGTAAGGGGCTCCCGCTTGAGCAGGGGGCTGGACTAGATGACCTCCCAGCCCTGTTCTTCTCCTCTTCTGATCCTGCTCTCCCTTCCCAGGGCTCTGACGGCGCAGATCCCAAAGATGCCACCCAGCCTGAAGGAGACCAGCCTCAGCAGATCCAGGCGGGCGAGAGAGCCGCGGCACCTCGGTTCCGCCCCAGATACCGCAGGCAAGACTTTGTCCACACACATACACACACACACACACAGGGAAACTAACCAGGATCCAAGCTTGCCTTCCCCTGGTTAAGATGGGGCTGTCTTGGCACGGCGCATTTGTCCTCACGGGTTTGGGGGGAAGAGGGCAGAATTGTGGGCCACAGGGCTGGTTTAGGAAAGAAAAAGTGGCTAGTTTGCCAGCCAGGCAGGTGGGTCAGTGGGACAAGCCAGGATTCCCAGCCCCAGGATTCCCAGCCCCAGGTTGGGCATGGTGCCACTCAAACAATGGGCACAAACGGAATTTGGGAGGTTTTTCTGCCCTTGTAACGCAGCAACATTCAGCAGAATAACTCCATCCTAAGTCAGCAATTTGCTAAATCTCAGCCTGGGCAGCTGGAAGGCGGATGGGCTTCAACCCCCAGAATTCCCCATCCAGCATTATCCGTTTCCCTTCTAATTGTCATGCCAGCTAGCTTACCTTTAACCTATTTATTAATGGTAGCTTGTCACGTTTTTCCCCCCCCCCCACTTTGCTGAAGTGAAGGTATATTGCGTCTGCCGCGTTCCCGCCATCTATTAAGAAAGTTACCCGGATCAAAACATGCGATAAAAGGAATCCCATTTGTTCTCGTCCTGGCCGTGCTGAATTTTGGTAAACTCTTGATGGCTGGGGACTTCTGGGAGTCGAAGTCCATCCGTCTTCTGGTGGCCCAGGTTAAGAGAGGCACTAGTAAGCTTTTAGATTAGGCCTGCCGCTCCAAAGTTTTGCAAACGGCAGTGCTTTCTTACCTCTCTCCAGCCACCATGTCTTTATTTAAGGTTATATTTAGTGGTCTGTCTTATGATTTATGATGGTATTTTATGATTGCGATTATGATTTATCGCTTGTTGCTTGTATGTACACTGAGAGCTTCCGCACCAGAGACCAATTACACTTGGCCAATAAAGAATTCCTATTCTATTTTCTATTTTCTATTTTCTATTTTCTATTTTCTATTCTCTATTCTCTATTCTCTATTCTATTCTATTCTATTCTATTCTATTCTATTCTATTCTATTCTATTCTATTCTATTCTATTCTATTCTAATCTAATTCTATTCTATTATCATTATTCTATTATCATTCTATTCTATTCTATTTCTATTTCTATTATTCTATTCTATTCTCTATTAATTTTCTATTCTAGTTTCTATTCTCTATTCTATTCTATTCTCTATTAATTTTCTATTCTAGTTTCTATTCTATTCTATTCTCCATTCTCTATTAATTTTCTATTCTATTTTCTATTCTATTATTTTCTATTCTCTATTCTATTCTATTTAATTTTCTATTCTAGTTTCTATTCTGTTCTCTATTCTATTCTCTATTAATTTTCTATTCTATATTCTATTCTATTCTCTATTAATTTTCTATTCTATTTTCTATTCTATTTTCTATTCTATTCTATTTTCTATTCTCTATTCTATTCTATTCTCTATTCCCTATTAATTTTCTATTCTATATTCTATTCTATTCTCTATTAATTTTTTATTCTATAGTCTATTCTATTCTATTCTATTCTATTCTATTCTCTATTTTCTATTAATTTTCTATTCTATTCTATTCTATTCTATTCTATTCTATTCTATTCTATTCTATTCTATTTTATTCTATTCTATTCTATTCTATTCTAGAGATTATGGAATTGCGATGGGCAATTCCTGGAGGGAATTTCCTATGCAGAAAGCTTATTCTGCTCTAGGGCACCCCCAGTTCTTTGCCTCCCCGTCTTTTCCTCCACGGGGGAAGAAGGCTGCCAGTTAATTCACACCCACCCCCCCTCTCTGTGTCCTGCCCAGACCTTTTCGCCCCCGTCCTCCGCAGCAGCCCACCCCGGAGGGAGGAGACGGCGAGACAAAAGCCGCCCAGGCCCCAGCGGACGGGATCCGTCCGGAGCCTCAACGGCAACGTAACCGGCCTTACTTCCAGCGTCGACGCCAGCAGCCATCTGTGGCTCGCCAGACGGCCACTGAGGTGAGGGGCAGGGACGTTGGGGAGGGGGGTGACGGGTGGGGTGCAGGAGGACGAGGCCTTGCCCCAAAGGCCTCAGAGACCCGGCCCAGCCGACTTCTGATTTTGACACCCTTGTTCTGAGTTCAAGTGAGGACCGCAAGGCCGAGTTAAAATTTTGCCGTCTTTGCGATGGTCTTTTTATTTTATTTTTTCCAGAACGGCTCTGGACCCCACAAATTTTGGGGGGATGGGTTCTCCTAAGGGATCCCTGATTTCCATTCTGGAGAATCCACAGGCACCCCCCCAGGCAGGCAGGACGGAGGCAAAGCCTTTTTGAAAGTCTGGCCTCCCACCCCAAATTTTGCTTTTTCTCTTTAACGGATTTAAATTCTCTTCGCTTCTGGTGATGCTTCAGGTCGTCCTTGCTTAACGACAAGGCTAATTGGGACCAGCAACTGTCATTAAACAATAGTGTAAATCAGTGGTTCTCAACCTTTTTAATGCCGCGACCCCCAACCGGTCAAGTCGAGGACTACTCAACCGGTCGTAAGTCGAGGACTACTCAACTGGTGCAGCACCGTTTGCAGAATGGGACTTTTGGCAGGCTCAGCAGGACAGAGACAGCCTGGACAATTCCTATTGGCTTTCGAAAGCCAATAGAATAAAAGGGAGGAGCACAGCTAAGGAAAAGGGGGGAAAAAATGGCGGACTGCGTTGTTTGGCGACCCCCGTGAAATGGCCGTTCCACCCCAAATGGGGTCCCGACCCACAGGTGGAGAACCACTGGTGTAAATGGAGAAAAAAAAACAAACACCCAGGCTATTTAGGGATGGCAGTTCCAGCAAACCTTCAAATGTTAATTTTGGAATTGAGGAATTCCTGGCCGTCTGCTTCCCTTGGTGTTTGCGATCCGCAGATCTCCTTCGACTCATTTACCCTTCTCCTTTTCTTCTCAGCTTTTCTTCTTCTGGAACTTGCAAACTTTGGATCGCTGCATAAACGTCCCCCCCAGTCGCCTTCGCTCGCATCAGCCAGGAAGGAGGAGGGATGGGGGGGGGAATCTCCCTGGCCCTGCGGGGGCCAGAAACTGACCGATCGTGTTCAGTGCAGGTTTTATGGACCCAATCGTCTTCTGTGCAGGGTCTCTCCGCGCCTCCCCTTCCCACAAAATCCAAGCCCTGTCCTCTTTTGCTCTAGGCAACTGCCAATGCAAAGGAGCCGCCGGCCCCCAGCTCCGCAGCGGCCGGGGGGGACACCCCAGCTGCCAGCACTCCTGTGATGGCTCAAGACACTGTGGTCGAAGCCAGCAAGCCTGCTTCCCCAGCCCAGGAAGGGGGTGCTCAGCCCCTGCTGGAAATCCAGCAACAGCTTGTGGATGTAAGCAACAGGATGGGGGGGCCTTGAATCCCGGGTTAACCCCCCCCCCTCTGCTCTCAAGGAGAGTCCCCATCTCCAGCTTCTCCCCACGGCCTGCAAAAGGGCCCTGCAAGGCCTCAACAGGCCACCAGGGGTCGCCCTTGAGCCACATCTGGGCCAGCAGGGCAATTTTTTTCCCCCATTTGGGTCGGAATCTGAACCCACGGCTTTGCCTTGGCAGATTTCAACACCCGAGCCAGGGGGAGAGCTCGCCCCCGCTTTACTGGCATGAAGAGCCTGCACACACCGAGGGGATGCCGAGAGCTGTGATCTGGTAAGGGGCTTCCATTGGTCTGAAACGGGGTAGGGTTTCCTGCCTGAGCAGGCGAGGGGGGGGGTTGGACTGGATGACCTCCCAGGTCCCTTCCGACTTTGTTGTGGTGCTTATTTTTTACGGCTTGTTGGTTGGGTTGATGGGTAAGGGGCTTTCATTTGTCTGACGTGGGATAGGGTTTCCTGCCTGAGCGGGAGGGGGGGGGTTGGACTGGATGACCTCCCAGGTCCCTTCCCACTTTATTGTGGTTGTTGTTTTTTATGGCTTGTTGGTTGGGTTGATGGGTAAGGGGCTTTCATTTGTCTAACGTGGGATAGGGTTTCCTGCCTGAGCGGGAGGGGGGGTTGGACTGGATGACCTCCCAGGTCCCTTCCCACTTTATTGGTGGTGGTGTTGTTGTTGTTTACAGCTTGTTTGGGTGGTGGCTTCCTTAAACTCCAGTTTATTTGTCACGCCGGGCTGGGTGAAAAGAGAGGGAGGGATTTGCCATCAAATCTCTGCTTAGTCGGGACCCTCCGAGCAGCAGGAATTTTAACTTTTTAGAACCCATCTTTTTGTTTTGACAAATTGTTTTGATAAATTGAGGAGGGTGTGTGTGGGTGTGTGTGTCTGAAAGCTGCCAGACATCAGGAATGCAAAGGAGAAGGGGGTTAAATTGATAAGACGTGTGTTCTGAATAATAGATTTTGTGAGGAATGGTGATAGAGCAATCGGGAGTATTTGAAATCCTGGGAATGATAAATACCAAACATTAAACTTAAATATTAGTGGAAATTTAAAAATGGAAAAAGGGAGTCCAGCTATTCTCCAAAGCACCTGAAGGCAGGACAAGAAGCAACGGGTGGAAACTAATCAAGGAGAGAAGCAACCTAGAACTAAGGAGAAACTTCCTGACAGTTAGAACAATTCATCAGTGGAACCACCTGCCTCCAGAAGCGGTGAATGCTTCAACACTGGAAGTTTTTAAGAAGAGACTGGACAGCCATTTGTCCGAAATGATACTATAGGATTTCCTGCCTGAGCAGGGGGTTGGACTAGATGACCTCCAAAGTCCCTTCCAACTTTATTATTATTATTATTATTAGTAGTAGTAGTAGTAGTATCATAATCATCATCATTAGGTCATTGATTGTCTAAAAGATTATGTATGTTAAAATAATTAGTATACACATACATACATACATACATACAAACTAAAAACTATTGATATATATAAGAAAACGATGTTTTGTGTGATTGACAGATTAAGAATTGTGTTAATTTACATCTGGACAGTATTAAGGTAAAGAGAGGAAATGTTTATGGTAGTAATTTGAAATCAGCACTAGTGATATCTGTATGTAATAATAATAATAATAATAATAATAATAAAGTTGGAAGGGACCTTGGAGGTCATCTAGTCCTGCTCAGGCAGGAAACCCTATATACCATTTCAGGCAGATAATCATAATGATAAAGTTGGAAGGGACCTTGGAGGTCATCTAGTCCAACCCCTTGCTCAGGCAGGAAACCCCATACCATTTCGGACAAACTGAATTATTATAACTCAGCCGCCACGTTGCTTTTCTAATACGTGAATGTTGTATTAGAAAAATCAATAAAATTTGTAGGGAAAAAAAAGGAATGCAAAGGAAGGGGGTTAAATGTTTTTTTTAAAAAACAGAGCCGATTTCTTTCTCCTGATGCTTCCTTGGCTGGGCGTTTCTCAAATGCACCAAGATTATTTTTGGGGTGTGTGTGTGTGTGTGGAAAACAATAATAAACCTGGTTTTTTTTTCAGCTTCCTACAAACCTCCTCCATCGTTGTCTGATTTTTACCTTTCCTTCCTTTGGCAGGTATCCAGAATGTGCCTCCAAACCCAAGTTACCTCATCCTGCACTTGAAGAGACCCCAGACTTCACCAATTAAACCCTCTTTGCTGCTGTTCAAGCCCTAAAATGTTAAAAAAAGAAAGAAAGAAAGAAAAAAGGATAAACCTGACCGGGGTGGGGGGAAAAAACTTTGCTTTAAAAAAAAAACAACACTTCAGAGGGGTTTGTCTGTTTCCTCCCCACAGTTTTGCCAGTTTAAAAGGGAAAAAAAAAGAGAGAAAATGAAAAACTGGCTGTTAAATCTTGAGTTAATTTTTTTTTCTCCTCCCCCCACCCCACATTGTTTGAAGAACACCCCCCCCGTGTGAACCGTTGTGTGCAGTTTGGGCGTCAGTAAAAAGACAAAAAAAAAAAAAAAAACTTTGCACAGAGCTTGCGTACGTCCCCCGTTTTTCTGTCGGCCATTAAAAAGGTCTTTTTAAACTTGGAGGCAGGGTTTCTTCCGTCGCCATCTTTGCTCTGAAAAGCTGTCCCCAAAATCTTCCTGGTGACGGTCACGGGGAGGGGTGTGCGGGCAAGACTCGGTTTGGCAAGACTTAAAACCAAGGGAAACGGCGGGGGGGCGTCGTGCGGTTGAAGCTTTGGACTAGAAACTTGGGAGGCTCTGAGTTCCAGTCCTGCCTTACCCACAGATGCTCCAACACTGGAAGTTTTTAAGAAGAGACTGGACAGCCATTTGTCTGAAATGGGATAGGGTTTTCTGCCTGAGCAGGGGGTTGGACTAGATGACCTCTGAGGTCCCTTCCAAGTCTGTTATTCTGTTATTCTGTTATTCTTTTCCTTCCTTCCTTCCTTCCTTCCTTCCTCCCTCCCTCCCTGCTCCAACACTGGAAGATTTTAAGAAGAGACTGGACAGCCATTTGTTTGAAATGGTATAGGGTTTCCTGCCTGAACGGGGTTGGACTAGATGACCTCCAAGGTCCCTTCCAACTTTATTATTATTATTATTATTATGGATCATCGCACAGTCAGCCAGATGTTCAGACTGGATTTGGCATTTTGTCTACCTATCGAGTCCTTACCCAGGACCTGGGATAGGCAGATGTGGATGTTTGATGGTATTACAGGTATCGTCGCAGGATGGAAGCAGTTCCTAGTAAGGCCGCCTTTTGCAATTGACTAATAGCGAATTTGTCAATGCCAATGGTGTTCAAGTGGTGCTCCAGTTGTTTTGGGATTGCACCCAAGGAGCCTATGACTATTGGTACTACCCTTGCTTGCTTTTGCCACAGTCTTTCTATTTCTATTTGTAGGTCTTTGTATTTTGTTATCTTCTCCAGTTCTTTCTCTTCTATTCTGCTATCTCCAGGCACTGCCACGTCCACTATCCAGACTTTTTTGTCTTTCTTATCGACAATTGTTAAGTCTGGGGTGTTATGTTGCAGGTGCTTGTCTGTTTGAATTCTGAAGTCCCAGAGCAGTTTAATTTTATCATTTTCTATGACTTTCTCTATTTTATGATCCCACCAGTTTTTGCTTACAGGCAAATGATATTTTTTGCAGATCTTCCAATGCACCATTGTTGCTACTTTGTCATGCCGCTGCTTGTAATCAGTCTGTGCAATCTTCTTGCAACAGCTTACCAAGTGGTCCACTGTTTCTTCAGCTTCTTTGCATAGGCGGCACTTACTATCTGTTGCTGTCTTCTCAATTTTGACTTTGTATGCATTTGTCCTTAAGGCTTGGTCTTGTGCAGCCAGAATTAGTCCCTCGGTCTCTTTCTTCAATTTTCCTGCTCTTAGCCATTGCCAGGTCTTCTTGTTGTTGTTGTTATTATTATTATTATTATTACTACTACTACTACTACTACTATTATTTTCTCTCCGCCCTGGGAAGGAGACAAGGAGAGGAGGCAGAGGGCAAACCATTCTGGCAGAGAGTTGTCAGGGCGCTTTCTTGAAAATTAGACTTGAGAAGAACGAAAGAGTTGGAAGGGACCTTGTAGGTCATCTAGACCAACCCCACCCGCCCTGGCCCAGAAGAGAAACAAACACGGAAGGGAAAACAAACTTCGCACAGAAGGGAAACACACTTTTACCGGGTGGAGCACGAAAAGGGTTGTGAGTTGGTTTTCTGGGTTCCAGTTGTGGTGTTAAGGAAAGGAAGTCGACAATCTTGGCCACCTTTTTGCCTTGAAGGAATTGCAGCCAATGCTTGACGGGCAGGCCGAGGGTGAAGAAGGATGCCAGGGCTTTGTAGTCCCTTCTGGAAAGACAGATGTGGCCGGCAAAAGTGGCCCTGTTTGAAAGGGGCTGCTGAGTGGTTAGAGCAGGGGTCTTCAAACTTGGCAACTTTTAAGACTTGCGGACTTCAACTCCCAGAATTCCTCAGGGCTGGCTGAGGAATTCTGGGAGTTGAAGTCCGCAAGTCTTAAAAGTTGCCAAGTTTGAAGACCCTTGGGTCAGAGCAGTGATTCTCCACCTGTGGGTCGGGACCCCATTTGGGGTCGAACGACCATTTCACGGGGGTCGCCAAACAAGGCTGTCTGCCATTTTTCCCCCTTTTCCTTAGCTGTGCTCCTCCCTTTTATTCTATTGGCTTTTGAAAGCCAATAGAATAGACTCTCTTGAATAGAGTCTCATTCTATTGGCTTTCAAAAGCCAATAGGAATTGTCCAGGCGGTCTCTGCCCTGCTGAGCCCGCCAAAAGTCCCCTTCTGCAAACGGTGCTGCACCAGTGGAGTAGTCCTCGACTTACAACCGGTTGAGTAGTCCTCGACTTACGACCGGTTGGGGGGGTCGCGGCATTAAAAAGGTTGAAAACCACTGGGTTAAAGCTTTGCTCCACCATTCCTGAGCCTGACAATGAGGACAATTAGCCAGTGGAACGATGTGCCACCAGAACTTGCAGGTGCTCCACCACTAGAAGACATTGGACAGCTATTTGTCTGGTATGGTCCGGGGTCTCCTGCTTGAGCAGGGGGCTGGATTAGATGACCTCTGTTAGGAAGGGACTCTGTTTAAGTTGGGGGTGTCTGCAGCCTTGCCCCGCCTCAAGGGTCGAGCCTCGCTGGCTTTCCCAAATTTGCCTCCTTTTCCAGTGCCCAAGAGTGGGAGCATCTGCCTGCCCAGGAAATGCCATGTTGACACAGGTAGCAGTATAGGGTTTCCTGCCTCAGCAGGGGGTTGGACTAATGACCTCCAAGGACCCTTCCCTCTTTATTTTTATTACTATTATTAGTGCTTGGCGCTGGTCTGCCCAGGAGAAGCTGTGCCCCTGGGTGGGACTGTTTGCCTCCCACCCCAAATGTCAGACAGGTAGTTCCTACCCACATTTCCTGCAGCACAATACAAAAAAGATGCTAAGAGTCTTGAAAGTGTGCAGAGAAGAGCAACAAAGAGGATCAGGGGGCTGGAGGCTAAAACATATAAGGAACGGTTGCGGGAATTGGGGATGTCTAGTTTAATCAAAGGAAGGAATAGGGGAGACATGGTAGCAATCTTCCAATATTTGAGGGGCTGCTCCAAAGAAGGGGGGGTGTCCACCTATTATCCAGGCAGGAGAAGAAGCAACGGATGGAAACTCATCAAGGAGAGAAGCAACCTGGAATTAAAGGAGAAACTTCCTGACAGTGAGAACAATTAACCAGTGGAACCACCTGCCTCCAAAAACTGTGACTGCTCCAATATTGGAAGTTTTTAAGAAGAGACTGGACAGCCATTTGTCTGAAATGGTATAGGGTTTCCTGCCTGAGCAAGGGGTTGGACTAGATGACCTCCAAGGTCCGTTCCAGCTTCTATTCTATTCCATTCCATTTCATTCTTCATATTTCTATTCTATTCTAATTTCTATTTTATTCTATTCTTCATATTTCTATTCTATATTCTATTGTATTCTATTCATATTTCTATTCTATTCTATTCATATTTCTATCCTATCCTATTCTATCCCATTCCATTCTTCATATTTCTTTTCTATTCTATTCTTCTTATTTCTATTCTATTCATATTTCTATTCTATTCTATTCTATTCTACTCTATTCTTCATATTTCTATTCTATTCTTCATATTTCTATTCTATTCATATTTCTGTTCTATTCTACTCTATTCTATTCTACTCTATTCTTCATATTTCTATTCTATTCTTTATATTTCTATTCTATTCATATTTCTATTCTATTCTACTCTATTCTATTCTACTCTATTCTTCATATTTCTATTCTATTCTTCATATTTCTATTCTATTCATATTTCTATTCTATTCATATTTCTATTCTATTCTACTCTATTCTTCATATTTCTATTCTATTCTTCATATTTCTATTCTATTCATATTTCTATTGTATTCTATTCTATTCTATTCTTCATATTTCTATTCTATTCGTATTTCTATCCTATCCTATCCTATTCTAAATCTCCAAGGTCCCTTCCTTAGAATTTATGTTCTAAGAGCCAATGTGGGAGGGGGGGAGAAAATCTGAGTCCTTGGCCGGGAGGAGAAAGACCAGGCTGCAAGACACACACACACACACACACACACACACACACACACACACACACACACACACACACACACACACATCACAATGGGCCAAGTCTTTGCAGCCCATCAAATGTTGCTGGCTGGGGAGCTGATTCAGCTACTTCGCCTAAAGATGCCAGAAATATGTCTCTTTTTTTTTTTTTCTTTCTCCCCCCTTCCCTGTTCTGGGAAAATGGAAGCCATGGGGGTGGGGGAGGATGTGGGGGGATTGGGATAAAAAGCCACATTCTCCCTGTCAGAGAGGTCAGACGTTTCTCAAAAAGGAAGCCTTGTGAATATCAGCCAAAAGGAAGTTCCAGGATTGTTCCAATGCTCTTCAGGAATAACTCTTTGCACGGACCAAAGACGCATTTGGGAGAAAAAATTCTCCTGGTTGGTCTTAAAAGAGATTAACCGAGATTTGGCGTGGCATCTTAACATTCCCAAGGCCTTCACTGTCTCGCCTTTTTAGGAAAGAGCCGAGCATCCAAATAGGGTTTAGCCATCTATTCTTAATATACAAATATCCTTTTTTTCTTCTTCTAGAAATACAAAATTAAACATGCACACACGCGCACGCAAAAGCCCACCGGCCCTGTTAAGACATTTTTCTCTCTTGACACAAAGCCCCCAAAGTAACTCCGTTGGGCAATTATGCAAATTTGGAGGGGAAAAAAATCCTTTTTTAAAAGAATGTTTAGAGTCTCGCATCTTTTCATTTTTCCCTTCTGACTTTCCCCGCACCGGGTGGTCAAATTTTCCAAAAAGTGACGCAGTCTGTCCGGCTTCTGTTTCTAAAATTCCACGATCTCATAGGGAAATAAAAAATAAAATAAAATAAAAATAAATAAAATAAAATAATAAAATATAAAATAAAATAAAATAAAATAATAAAATAAAATAATAAAACGAAATAATAAAATAAAATAAAATAATGTAAAATAAATAAAATAAAAATAAATGAAATAATAAAATAAAATAATAAAATGAAATAAAATAATATACTGTAAAATAAAATAAAAATAAAATAAAAATAATAAAATAATAAAATGAAATAAATAATAAAATAAAATAATAAAATGAAATAAAATAATTAAATTAAATTAAATTAAATTAAAAATAACCAAATTCTAGGCACTCTGTGTAGATGCAAAAAGGTTCTTGAAAATTGCAGGGGTTTAAAAGTGCAGAGGAATCAAAGGAGGAATTGAAACCTAAGGCAATTTTAGAAAGTCTGAGACAATCACCGACCTTTGCTCCAAAATTAATTCCATTAATTAATGTTCCCATATTTGAAAAACTGGGAGTTCCTGAGCTGGGGATGGGGGAGAATTAAACCAGGTTCAAACCAGCTTAGACCTGAACAAACCCCACTCCTAATTAGCACTGATGGTGTTCCCTAGTTGGGTCATGAGACGTCTGCAAGGAAACACCCAATTTCAGAGAGCCCCAAGGACCTATAGTTCTCCTCCTCCTCCTCCTCCTCCTCCTCCTCCCTTCTAACACTGATGATGTTCCCTAGTTGGGTCACGAGACGTCTGCCAGAAAACCACCCAGCTCAGAGAGCACCAGGGACCCCCCCCCTCATTTCAACCCTGAGCTATAAATATTCTCCTTTATTGGTATGTGCTCAGCAAAATAAATCCTTTTTTGCAAAACCATCCTTTTTGCAATTTGCAGCTTTCTTTTTTTTTTAATCCTAACGGCTCCAGTATAAGGTTTTTTCCCCCCTTTTAATCTCAGGGCAAACATCTGTAGTGGTTTTGGGGCAGGGGGAGGGGGGCGCCAGTGGCCTCATAATCACGGGGAGGCTGAAGAAGGCCGGGTGGGGGGGGGTTGAGCTGTGCCCCCAAATCAGCCGCCCAGTTGGCACCAGGCACGGGCCGTGCGGTGTGAGGCTTTCATTGCAAGAGGTCCCTTCAGCTCTCTGGGAGTTAGTTGAAGCCCAAAAACTCTATCCAGGGAATTCTGGGAGTTAGTTGAAGCCTACAAACGCTGGTCAGGGAATTCTGGGAGTTAGTGGAAGCTGCAAGTGCTGGCTGCGGAATTCTGGGAGTTGAAGTCCAGCCTTCTTAAAGTTGCTGAGGCTGAAAACACTGGCTCATAGAAAGCGGCCTCCCTCTCAATCGTGCAGGCCTTGGCATGGGTCTTGTAGTCCTTTCTCCGTGCAGAACCAGAGAAGGCCTATATCAGTGGTTCTCAACCTTTTTAATGCCACGACCCCCCAACTGGTCGTAAGTCGAGGACTACTCAACCGGTCGTAAGTCGAGGACTGCTCAACCGGTCGTAAGTCGAGGACTACTCAACTGGTGCAGCACCGTTTGCAGAAGGGGACTTTTGGTGGGCTCAGCAGGGGGAAGACAGCCTGGACAATTCCTATTGGCTTTTGAAAGCCAATAGAATTAGACTCTATTCAAGAGAGTCTATTCTATTGGCTTTCAAAAGCCAATAGAATAAAAGGGAGTAGCACAGCTAAACAAAAGGGGGGGGAAATGGCGGACTGCGTTGTTTGGCGACCCCCGTGAAATGGTCGTTCGACCCCAAATGGGGTCCCGACCCCCAGGTTGAGAACCACTGGTCTAAAGTCATCCCAAGCTGTCACTCTTTCACCTCTCCAATCACCCTCTTCTTGTTTGGCCTCAGCCTTAATCACACATTCAGGGTTTGATGTCTAGACTGAGGTTGTCCTATCTTGGCCACTTTAAGACTTCTGGACTTCAACTCCCAGAATTCCTCTGCCGGCAACCTTTTACCAGAATTCAGTGCGGATAGGACAGACCGGACTACTCTATTTTTTTTGATCGGGTAACTTTCTTCATAGATGGTGGGAATGCGGTTGGCGTAATCTATCTTGACTTCAGCAAAAAAAAAAAATTTTTAAAAATGGCTGGGGAATTCTGGGAGTTGAAGTCCACAGGTCTTAAAGGGGCCACGTTTGGACACCCCTGGTCTGGAAGGTGTCCAACATTTACTGGAAAAAAACGGATGTTCTGGATCAGGGGAAAGAGTAAGCCTGCCTGTGGAACCTCCTGAAGGGTGAGCAAGGAACTCTGCCCATGCTCTGGGGTGCTCTTGGGCGACACACACTCAGGACTTAGCATGATCCCAAGTCAGCCAGGTACAAAAGAAGAAAAGTCTTTGGAAGATGGTTAGTTGGCAGCCAGGATGTCTCTCTCTTTCCTGGGGGGCGGGAGGGGGGGGACTGGTTCCTGCTTCCGAAAGTGCTCTGGGAAAATGGGGGGAAATCTAGGCCAATCAGGGCTACCCAGAGGGCATCTTTCCACCCCAAAGCCTTATTTACAGCGGTGACCGTGACCCCTGCGCTCCCGGACCGTCCGGTTTAAAAACAATCGATTGCTTTTCTCTTAAAAACGAACAATTAAAAAATAATAATAATAAACGCAACCGGACCCAAGAAACCGTTTGGCCGAGACCCTGAGATCTTCCAGCCAGGCCTCCCGGCCGTAAAGTGCTCAGCAAACCCTGCTCTTTCTGCCACCGTCCCTAATTCCATGCCTTGTGGTCTCCTTTCCCTCTCCGCAACTCCCATCCCGGCCACAACCCCCGTCTTCATTCGTGACCGTCCGGGCTCAGCTCGTCCAGCTCCGTGTAGGGCTTGATCTCCCGGTCCAGCAACGACGGGGTGCGTCGGAATGTGGCGGCGATGTCATCAAAGGTGCGCCCCCTAGTCTCGGGCACCTTGAGGTAGGTGAAGGCGGAGAAGATGAAGAGGAGGATGGCGAAGAGGAGGAAGACGTAAGGGCCGATCGCCTCCTGCCAGGGGTAAGAGAAGGACAGGGTTGGGAGGGACCTTGGAGGTCTTCTAGTCCAACCCCCCTGCATGATGGTCATAGAAAACGAAGGCCTAGAAGGGACCTTGGAGGTCTTCCAGTCCAACCCCCTGCCCAAGATCATAGAAACACAGGGCTAGAAGGGACTTTGGAGGTCTTCTAGTCTAACTTCCTGCCCAAAATCATAGAAAACATAGGGCTGGAATGCAATAGACTAGACTAGACTAGACTATACTAGAACAGAACAGAACAGAATAGAATTATAGGATAGGATAGGATAGGATAGGATAGGATAGGATAGGATAGGATAGGATAGGATAGAAGTAGGAATGGAAGAATAGAGTAGAGTAGAGTAGAGTAGAGTAGAGTAGAGTAGAGTAGAGTAGAGTAGAGTAGAAATAGAATAGAAATAGGAATGGAAGAATAGGATAGGATAGGATAGGATAGGATAGGATAGGATAGGATAGGATACAATAGAAATAGGAATGGAAGAATAGGATAGGATAGGATAGGATAGGATAGGATAGGATAGGATAGGATAGGATAGGATAGGATAGGATAGGATGAAATAGAAATAGAAATGGAAAAATAGAATAGAATAGAACAGAACAGAACAGAATAGAATAGAAATAAGGAATAGAATAGAATAGAATAAAAATAAGGAATAGAATAGAATAGAACAGAATAGAATAGAAATAAGGAATAGAATAGAATAAAAATAAGGAATAGAATAGAATAGAATAGAATAGAATAGAATAGAATAGAATAGAAATACAGAATAGGATAGGATAGGATAGGATAGGATAGGATAGGATAGGATAGGATGAAATAGAAATAGAAATGGAAAAATAGAATAGAATAGAACAGAACAGAATAGAATAGAAATAAGGAATAGAATAGAATAGAATAAAAATAAGGAATATTTATTTATTTATTTATGAGACTTATATACCGCTTTAAGTGCAAGCACTCTCTAAGCGGTGTACACCAGTAAGCAATGTATATATATATATATTTACATTGCCCCCAACAATCTGGGTCCTCATTTTACCTACCCCGGAAGGATGGAAGGCTGAGTCAACCTTGAGCCGGTGAGATTTGAACCGCTGACCTGCTGAACACAGTCAGCTAAAGTGGCCTGCAGTACTGCACTCTAACTGCTGCGCCACCTCAGATATAGAATAGAATAGAATAGAATAAAAATAAGGAATAGAATAGAATAGAATAGAATAGAATAGAATACAATACAATAGAATAGAATAGAAATAAGGAATAGAATAGAATAGAATAGAATAGAATAGAATAGAATAGAATAGAATAGAATAGAATAGAATAGAATAGAAATAAGGAATAGAATAGAATAAAAATAAGGAATAGAATAGAATAAAAATAAGGAATAGAATAGAATAGAATAAAAATAAGGAATAGAATAGAATAGAATAGAATAGAATAGAATAGAATAGAATAGAAGCTGGAAGGGACCTTGGAGGTCTTCTAGTCCAGCCCCCTATACCATCTCAGACCTAAGCTTAAGGGTTGACCTCCGAGATTTTCGTTTTCCTCCTCCCTCACCTCCCTCTCTCCTTTCGTGCTATGCCATTCGGATAATCGGCTGAAAGCTTTTTTACGCGCCCTCCTTCGACCCCAGAGATCAGGGACTAAAAACATGGCCTTACTGCGGCCTCAGACTCACCTGGATGGAGGGGAAACTCATGCCCACGATGAAGTTGCTAGTCCAGTTGGCAAAGCCGGCCACCGCCATGGCGGCCGGCCGGGGCCCCTGGCTGAACAGCTCGGCCACGATGAACCACGGGATGGGGCCCGGCCCGATCTCAAAGAAGGCCACGAAGGCAAAAATAGCCACCATGCTCAGGTAACCCATCCAGGCAACACTTTTCTGCCAAGAGAGGGAGACGAAATTTTTCTGAGCGGATTTTTCGGGCTGGCAAAAGTCCCGAACACGCCGGTCCTCAATTTACAACCGTTCGTTTAGTGACCGAGCTTACCAACGGCGCTGAAAAAAAAAGGGACCTGCGACCGTTTTTCACGCTCAACAACCGTCGCAGCGTCCCCGCGGTCAGGCGATCCAAATGCGGGCCGCTCGGCAAGCGACTCGTATTTACGACGGCCGTATTCACGCGATCCCCCTTTTGCGACCGTCCGACCAGCCACGTCCGCGGGGGGAGAACCCGGGTTCGCTTAACGACCGGGTGACTAGCGAAACGACGGCAGGGACTTCGTTCGGAAAGGTCGCACAACGGGGCAAAACCCACTTCACGACGTGTCTTGCTGAGTGACAGAAAAGTGGGGGTGGGTGGGGAGCGTCTTTTAAGGTCCCTGCGGTGAAAAAGGGTCCTTTCGGGGACCGGCTGGAGTGGATTTTTCCCGCCTCGCAAAAGGAAATGGGATCCCTGTTGGTTCGGATTAAGGGACGGTGGAACTCACCGCCACCAGATGTGGCTGATCGGTTTGGGAGTTGCTTTGCAGCGAATTCCAGCTCTCAAGTGGGACACCCTTGGTCCAGTTACTCACCAAGAGGAGGAGCGAAGTCATCATCAAAAGGGCACAGATGCCCATCCCGAATAAGCCCACCAGGTGTAGCGTCCGTCTTCCCGCCCGCTCGACCAGGAACACCTGGAAGGGAGCAAACAGGTGGGCGATCCTAAGAGCTGTTTTATTTCGGTTGCAAGTTATGGATAGCAAATTGAGTAGGGGGTTGGACTAGAAGACCTCCAAGTTCCCTTCTGACTCTGTTATTCTTTTATTCTGTTATTTTAATTTCTGGAGCAAATTATGGATAGCAGAGTTTATGACTGGTGGACTTGCAACTCCCAGAATCCTCCAGCCATATTCTCTTTTTTCCCCCACTTTGCTGAAGTCAAGTTATATTATGTTCACTTCCTACCCATCATCTATTAAGAAAGTCACCCTATCCCCCCCAAAAAATAAAACGCAATAAAGGAGCTTAACCACATTTGCTCTTATCCACCAGCCATGCTTAATCATCATCATCATCGTCTTAAGAACAATGATGAAGACGCACTGAAATTAGTATATCAGGAAGGCTTACTGATACTGGAGAGACCAAACTGGTCTACAAGAAAGACCAAATGAAGAACAGAATAGAGGCATGGGAAGACAAAGCACTACATGGCCAATACATTAAAAAAATAGCTGGGAAAGCAGATATTAACAAGACCTGGCAATGGCTAAGTGCAGGAAAATTGAAGAAAGAGACCGAGGGACTAATTCTGGCTGCACAAGACCAAGCCTTAAGGACAAATGCATATAAAGTCAAAATTGAGAAGACAGCAACAGACGGTAAGTGCCGCCTATGCAAAGAAGCTGAAGAAACAGTGGACCACTTGGTAAGCTGCTGCAAAAAGATCGCACAGACTGACTACAAGCAGCGGCGCGACAAAGTAGCAACAATGGTGCGTTGGAAGATCTGCAAGAAATATCATTTGCCTGCCAGCCAGAACTGGTGGGACCATAAAATAGAGAAAGTCATAAAAAATGATAAAATTAAACTGCTCTGGGACTTCAGAATTCAAACAGACAAGCACCTGCAACATAACACTCCAGACTTAACAATTGTCGATAAGAAAGACAAAAAAGTCTGGATAGTGGACGTGGCAGTGCCTGGAGATAGCAGAATAGATGAGAAAGAACTGGAGAAGATCACAAAATACAAAGACCTACAAATAGAAATAGAAAGACTGTGGCAAAAGCAAGCAAGGGTAGTACCAATAGTCATAGGCTCCTTGGGTGCAATCCCAAAACAACTGGAGCACCACTTGAACACCATTGGCATTGACAAATTCGCTATTAGTCAATTGCAAAAGGCGGCCTTACTAGGAACTGCTTCCATCCTGCGACAATACCTGTAATACCATCAAACACCCACATCTGCCTATCCCAGGAAGGACTCGATAGGTAGACAAAATGCCAAGTCCAGTCTGAACATCTGGCTGACTGTGCGATGATCCATAATAATAATAAAGTTGGAAGGGACCTTGAGGGTCATCTAATCCAACCCCCTGCTCAGGCAGGAAACCCTACAGCATTTCAGACAAACAGCTGTCCAGTCTCTTCTTAAAAACTTCCAGTGTTGGAGCCTTCACCGCTTCCGGGGGCAGGTAGTTCCACTGGCTAATGGTGGGGGAATTCTGGGATTTGAATTCCACCGCTCTTAACGTTATCTGGTTTGTAGACTCCTGTTCTTGGGGGGACCCCCCCCCGAGGGTCGGGGTGAGGCAGGAGCTCTTACCGAAATGATGGTGAAGATGGTGTTCACCACGCCCGTTCCGATGGTGGCGTAGATGGGCTGTTCCAAACCGGCTTTGGTCAAGATGTCAGTTGAGTAGTAGAAGACCTAAAGAGGAATGGCGAAAGTTCTTCCTGGTTCTTTGGGGGGGGGGTCCCCTGGCCCCGCTCCCCTTTTGCCCTCCCTCCCTTCCTCACCGCGTTGCCCCCACTCACCGCGTTGATGCCCGACAGCTGCTGGGACAGCTGGAGGACCACGGCGATCAAGAGCGGCTGGCGGTAAATGCGGGAACGGAACAGCTGGAGGATGGAGACCTTGTGTTCCATGTCCATCCGCCGCTTCTCCTCCTTCATCTCTGTCAACGCGGCACTGACGTCCTGACAGCCGGTTAGCCGCTTGAGACCTAGTGAGGGGGGACCCGTGGACGTGAGCAAGGGTGGTAAGGATAAATAGGGAACCCCAGAAACAGTTTTCCCAGTGGCAATGCAGGGCTGTGAAAGTTGGACCGTAAGAAAGGCTGAGCGCCAAAGAATGGAGGCCTTTGGACTCTGGTGCTGGAGAAGACTCCTGCGAGTCCCCTGGACTGCAAGGTGGTCCAACTGGTCAGTCCAAGAGGAGATCAACCCCGACTGCTCTTTAGAAGGCCAGATCCTGAAGTGGAAACTCAAGGACTTTGGCCACCTAATGAGAAGGAAAGACTCACTGGAGAAGAGCCTGATGCTGGGAAAGATGGAGGGCAAGAGAAGAAGGGGACGACAGAGAATGAGATGGCTGGATGGAGTCCCTGAAGCAGCAGGTGGGAGCTTAAATGGACTCCAGAAGATGGTGGAGGACAGGAAGACCTGGAGGAACGTTGTCCATGGGGTCGCGATGGGTTGGACATGACTTCACAACTAACTCTCTCTCTCTCTCTCTCCCCCTCCCTCTCTCTCTCCCCCTCCCTCTCTCTCTCTCTCTCTCTCTCTCTCTCTCTCTCTCTCTCTCTCTCTCTCTCTCTCTTTATCTATCTATGTGTCTATCTATCTATCTATCTATGGGTCGGACATGACTTCACAACTAACAACAACTCTCTCTCTCTCTCTCTCTCTCTCTCTAGCTAGCTAGCTGTTGAGGCCTTTGGACTATGGTGCTGGAGAAGACTCCTGCGAGTCCCCTGGATTGCAAGGCGATCCAACCGGTCGGTCCTAGAGGAGATCAACCCCAATTGCTCTTTAGAAGGCCAGATCCTGAAGTGGAAACTCAAGGACTTTGGCCACCTAATGAGAAGGAAGGACTCACTGGAGAAGAGCCTAATGCTGGGAAAGATGGAGGGCAAGAGAAGAAGGGGACGGCGGAGAATGAGGTGGCTGGATGGAGTCCCTGAAGCAGGAGGCGTGAGCTTCAATGGACTCCAGAAGATGGTGGAGGACAGGAAGGCCTGGAGGAATGTTGTCCATGGGTCGCGATGGGTCGGACACGACTTCACAACAACTCTCTCTCTCTCTCTCTCTCTCTCTCTCTCTCTCTCTCTCTCTCTCTCTCTATCTATCTATCTATCTATGGGTCGGACATGACTTCGCAACTAACAACAACACTCTCTCTCTCTCTCTCTCTGTATCTACCTACCTACCTACCTACCTACCTATCTGTTGAGGCCTTTGAACTCTGGTGCTGGAGAAGACTCCTGCGAGTCCCCTGGACTGCGAGGCAATCCAACTGGTCAGTCCTAGAGGCTCTGTAGAAGGCCAGATCCTGAAGTTGAAACTCAAATACTTTGGCCACCTAATGAGAAGTAAGGACTCACTGGAGAAGGGCCTAATGCTGGGAAAGATGGAGGGCAATAGAAGAAGGGGACGACAGAGAATGAGGTGGCTGGATGGAGTCCCTGAAGCAGGAGGCGTGAGCTTCAATGGACTCCAGAAGATGGTGGAGGACAGGAAGGCCTGGAGGAACGTGGTCCATGGGTCGCGATGGGTCGGACACGACTTTGCAATTAACAACAAAATCCCACCTGGCTGGCTGTCATCCCATAAGGACCAAAATGCTTCATTTGGTGAATTTTCATGATTGCTTCAGTGGCTAAAAGTTCTCTTTTATTAGGGGATAAGGGTGTTATTCCAAGCCAGAAAACTGAATAATTTATCCACTCACAGGAAAATCCCAAGTGTGCTCCAGTTATTATTAGTAATAATAATTGAACACCCCTTGCATTAAGAAAACTAGCCTGGCGGTTTATTCCCTGACAAGCTAACTTTTTAGAGGTAGGACGGTTTTTTTGAGTTTCAGAGAAATTGTTTTATGCTGAATTATAATCCATCCAATTTAAATATCCTGTCCTGTGAAACGCCAGCTAACAGTTTAATCCCAAATAAGTGAAATCCATCTTAAATTTTCCAGCTTGGGTGGGGTTTCAGAGAGTGTGAACATCCAAACAGGAAAAACAGCCCTTGGTCAACACAGTTTATTTCACTTTTCTTTCTAAAAACACCAAGTACCTACCGAATTTGGACTGCAGAGAAAAATAATCACACGCTATTACGGTAATCTGCAAGGAAGCCAAGGCTGAAACAGTGCTAAAATAAAATCAACATCCCCAAAAGCTGAAAAAAGGAAGAAATGAATCTATTTTTTTTTTCAGGCATTGTGGCAGGCAGATTGGAAAAGTATTAAGCTGGGCGATCACAATGGGATTGTGCGCCCACAACGCACAACTTCAAGAAAGAATCAAAAGTAAAACATGGCAAAGGATTAAAAACTTAACATTTCTGGATGCAAAACAGACAATTATATGATAAGGGAAGGAGTCAATAACATCCATCGGCACAAAACAATAAAATCCATCGGACATGATAGCAGCCTTCCAATCTCTCAGGGGCTGCCCCAAAGAAGAGGGAGTCAAGCTATTCTCCAAAGCCCCTGAAGGCAGGACAAGAAGCAACGGATGGAAACTCATCAAGGAGAGAAGCAACCTAGAACTAAGGAGAAACTTCCTGAGAGTTAGAACAATTAGCCAGTGGAACCACCTGCCTCCAGAAGCGGTGAATGCTCCAACACTGGAAGTTTTTAAGAAGAGACTGGATAGCCATTTGTCCGAAATGGTCTAGGGTTTCCTGCCTGAGCAGGGGGTTGGACTAGATGACCTTCAAGGTCCCTTCCAAGTCTGTTATTCTGTTATTCATTTTCCTTTTCCTTCCTTCCTTCCTTCCTTCCTTCCTTCCTTCCTTCCTTCCTTCCTTCCTTCCTTCCTTCCTTCCTTCTGTTCTTCCTTCTTCCCTCCCTCCCTCCCTCCCTCCCTTCTCCAACACTGGAAGTTTTTAAGAAGAGACTGGATAGCCACTTGTCCGAAATGGTGTAGGGTTTCCTGCCTGAGCAGGGGGTTGGACTAGATGACCTCCAAGGTCCCTTCCAACTTTTACTAAAAACCACAAAGGTTCAAGTGGAGAGGCTGGCTGGAGTCCCCTGAAGCAGGAGGCCAAAAAAAAGTTGTAAAACGGGGCAAAGCTCGCGTCGTCAGAACGGTCTCACTTTGCGACGGAGGTTTTGGCCTCGTCCGTGTGGAGGGCAATCGGTACTCACTCTCTTTGGCCTTGGATTCCTTGTTTCGGATGATGTACAGGTAGCGCGGGCTCTCCGGACAGAAAGGGAAGAGCAGCAGCTGCAGGATGGAGGGCACCACGGTGATGCCCATCAAGAGCGGCCAGTAGGTCTCATTGCCCAGTAGGGTGTCCAGGCCGCACACCTGTGGCGAGGGGGGGGAAGAGGCTGGTTCAAGACCGACGCGCAATCAACGGGAAGACGCCAGGCTAAATATCGGTGCCCAATGGAGAACATTTGTAGCTCACGGTTGGAAGGAGGGGTCCTTGGCGCTCTGGGTTGTTTCATGACCCAACTAGGTAACATCATCAGTACTAGAAGGGGGGAGGAGGAGGAGGAGGAGGAGGAGGAGGAGGAGGAGGAGGAGGAGGAGGAGGAGGAGGAGGAGGAGGACAACGACGATGACTGTGGGGCCCCTGGTGCTCTCTGAGCTGGGTGGTTTCCTTGCAGACATTTCATGACCCAACTAGGGAACAGCATCAGTGCTAGAAGGGAGGAGAAGGAGGAGGAGGAAGAGGAGAAGGAGGAAGAGGAGGAGGAGGAGGAGGAGGAGGAGGACAACAACAACAACAACGACTGTGGGGCCCTTGGTGCTCTCTGAGCTTGGTGGTTTTTTTACAGACGTTTCATGACCCAACTAGGGAACAGCATCAGTGCTAGAAGGGAGGAGGAGGAGCAGGAGCAGGAGGAGGAATGAGGGGTCCTTGGTGCTTCCTGAGCTTCAAGGCACTGCCTGGCTGAGGAATGCTGGGAGTTGAAGTCCACAAGTCATCAAAGGACCCAGTTGGAAGACCCCTGCCCTTATCACGCAAGGGGGAACCCCACATTTTTGTCCCAAGTCAGGGCAAGTCAAGGCCAGCTTCCCCCTCCCTCCCATCGGTGCCGAGCCCTCTCTGACCTGACCCCCTCCATGCAACCCAACCCCCCCCCCAAAAAATCTCAAACATAGGCTGCTTACCTGGGCAAATAGGATCCCGATGACAATGGCCAGCTGGTTCAGGGTCCCCAAAGCCCCCCGAAGCTTGGTGGGGGCGATCTCCCCCACATACATGGGAACAAGTCCAGAGGCAAATCCTGGCAACACAGAGAGGGAGAAAGTGTGTGTTTGTGTGTGTGTGTGTGTGTGTGTGTGACCGCTACATTGCGTCTACCCACAGGAGGAATCCACAGAAGGGCTTCCTCTCCGACAAAAAAAAAAAAAAAACGATCTTGAGAAACCATCACTGGCCCAGCATAGAGGCACGCTGCTCCTGAACATGGAGGTTCGACAGGAAGGACTTGCCAAATTGAGGGTCATCCTGGGTTGTCTCAACCCCCCCCCCAGCTCCTTTTGACCTTAGGGTATTTTTTTTCCCACTTTCTCATAGCGTAGATAAGTAGGCAAGTGGCTTGGCTGATTGGAAAGTTGGTTCGTTGGGATGATATTCACTCGTGCGTTCGCTCATTCATTTGTTTATTCGTTCGTTCATTCATTCGTTCCTTGACTGCACTCAGATGTCATTTTAATCAAGGCTGATTCGGTGCCACTGAAATAGTGAATTCTAGTCCTATTTAAAAGCCGGCTGGGTGACTTTGGGCCAGTCACCAGGAGACGGTGAGTTCTAGTCCCACCTTAAGCGTGAAAGCTGACTGGGTGACTTTAGCTCAATCACCAGGAGATGGGGAGTTCTAGTCCCATTTTAGCCATGATAGCCAACTTGGACCAATCGCCAGGAGACGGTGAGTTCTAGTCCCGTCTTAGGCACAAAAGCTGGGTGCCTTTGGGCCAATTGCCAGGAGATGGTGAGTTCTAGTCTCACCTTAGGCATGAAAGCCAGTTGGGTGCCTTTGGGCCAATCGCCAGGAGACGGGGAGTTCTAGTCCTGCCTTAGGCACGAAAGCCAACCGGGTGACTTTAGCCTAATCATCAGGAGACGGTGAGTTCTAGTCTCACCTTAAGCATGAAAGCTGCCTGGGTGACTTTAGCTCAATCACCAGGAGATGGGGAGTTCTAGTCCCATTTTAGCGCTGATAACCAACTTGGTGATTTTGGACTAAGCACCAGGAGGCGGTGAGTTCTAGTCCCACCTTAGGCACAAAAGCCAGCTGGGTGACTTGGGGCCAATCACCAGGAGACTGGGAGTTCTAGTCCCGCCTTAGGCATGAAAGAGGCTGGGTGACTTTGAGCCAATCAGCAGGCGACTGGGAGTTCTAGTCCCGCCTTAGGCACAAAAGCCAGCTGGGTGACTTGGGGCCAATCACCAGGAGACGGTGAGTTATAGTCCCGCCTTAGGCACGAAAGCCAACCGGGTGACTTTTGCCTAATCACCAGGAGATGGTGAGTTCTAGTCCCGCCTTAGGCATAAAAGCCATCTGGTGACTGAGCCAATCGCTAGGAGACGGTGAGTTCTAGTCCCCCCCCCCTAAAATCTCCTCCTGTGGGCTCCCTTTCGCCTGCAGGACCCACGGTCCGACGGGAGGAAAGGCCGCCTCCCCCTTCATCTTCCCCCCCCCCCCCGTGAGCCTGTCCCCCCCCTCCACCCCGTACCTGAGAAAGCCCCGATCACAAACCGGCCGAAGATCATCATCTCGTACGATTTGCCCAGCTTGGCCAGCCCCATCAAGCCACCGCCGAGGAAGGCCAGGCCATTGTTGACGATCATGGCTCTCTTCCTGGAAGGAGAAGAGAAGAGACCCCCCTGTATGGACAAAGAAGCTCTCTCGGGGTGGGGGGGGCACAGAGCCTCTAACGCAGTGGTTCTCAACCTTTTTAATGCCGCGACCCCCCCCAACCGGTCGTAAGTCGAGGACTACTCCACCGGTCGTAAGTCGAGGACTACCCAACTGGTGCAGCACCGTTTGCAGAATGGGACTTTTGGCGGGCTCAGCAGGGCAGAGACAGCCTGGACAATTCCTATGGGCTTTTGAAAGCCAATAGAATGAGACTCTATTCAAGAGAGTCTATTCTACTGGCTTTCAAAAGCCAATAGAATAAAAGGGATTAGCACAGCTAAGGAAAAGGGGGAAAAAATGGCGGACTGCGTTGTTTGGCGACCTCCGTGAAATGGTCGTTCGACCCCAAATGGGGTCCCGACCCCCAGGTTGAGAACCACTGCTCTAAAGGCCAGCCTGCACCCAACTGGGGTGGGGGTCCCTGCTCCCTTTCCAAAACAAACCCTGATCAGACCGTGTTGCGACCACCCATTTATCTGGGATTAAACCCAGCTCAGGTCTGGTTCCCCCCCCCCCCACAGCTGCAGAGCCGTAGGAAATATTTCCCGACAGGCAGTCCTCCACTTACAACGCTTCATTTAGTGACTGTTCGAGGTTGGAACCGCACGGAAAGAGATAACAGCTGTTTTTCACACTTTACGACTTCCTGGCAGTCCAAATTTGGACGCTCAGCAACTGACTCACGTTTACGACGGTCGCAACGTCCCGGGATCACGGGACCCTGTTTTTGTGACTTTCTGAAGAGCAAAGTCAAGCAGGGGGGAGACCAGGTTCGCTTAACGACCGTGAGACTCGCTTAACGACTGCCGCGATTTGCTTAACGACCGTAGCCAGAAAGGTCACCAAACGGGGTGAAAGTTACTTAACAGCTGCCTGGCTTGGCCACAGAAATTTTGGACTCACTGGTCGTCGTACGTTGAGGACCACCCGTCACGTGTGAAATGAGCCCCTTTCAAAGGAAGTTTTGCACAGGGCTGCAATTATAGATAGTCCTCAGCTTATGACCAGTCACACCCCCCCGAAGGTACTTACCACCCCCTTCTGAATTACCCTGTGGTCACAGGCCTGCATTTGGGGCATCCAGCGTGTAACCGTAAGTTGAGGACTACCAGCTTGTAGCCATAAACTGAGGACTAACAGCATGTAACTGTAAGTTGAGGACTACCAGCTTGTAGCCATAAACTGAGGACTACCAGCATGTAGTTGTAAATCAAGGACTATTTGTAAAGTTGCCAACTTCTGCCATCCGTGCAGGGCTCCGGTTGCTTAGGCCTGATCTCTTCCCCGTTGCAGTGCACTCTGCCCATGCTCAGAGGGAGGGAAGGAGGGAGGGGGGTCTCACCTGCCCAGCCATTCGGAGACCACGCCCACCAGGAAGGAGGTGAGCATCCCCCCCAAGGAGAAGATGGAGACCGAGAGGGACCACAGGATGTTGAGCACAGCCGGGTCGATGGAGGAGCCGTTGGCCACGCCCTGCCGGTGCATCCAGGTGGCGTTGTAGCTCTGCTCGATGATCTGGGATATAATAATAATAATAATAATAATAATAATAATAATAATAATAATAATAATAATAATAATATCCAGTCTGAACATCTGGCTGACTGTGCGATTAATAATAATAATAATAATAATAATAATAATAATAATAGACGTAGCAGTGCCTGGAGATAGCAGAATAGACGAGAAAGAACTGGAGAAGATAACAAAATACAAAGACCTACAAATAGAAATAGAAAGACTGTGGCAAAAGCAAGCAAGGGTGGTACCAATAGTCATAGGCTCCTTGGGTGCAATCCCAAAACAACTGGAGCACCACTTGAACACCATCATCGGCATTGACAAATTCACCATTAATCAATTGCAAAAGGCGGCCTTACTAGGAACTGCTTCCATCCTGCGACGATACCTGTAATACCATCAAACATCCACATCTGCCTATCCCAGGTCCTGGGTAAGGACTCGATAGGTAGACAAAATGCCAAATCCAGTCTGAACATCTGGCTGACTGTGTGATGATTCATAATAATAATAAAGTTGGATGGGACCTTGGAGGTCATCTAGTCCAACCCCCTGCTCAGGCAGGAAACCCTATACTACTTCAGATAAATGGCTGTCCAGTCTCTTCTTAAAAACTTCCAGTATTGAAGGAGGGAGGGAGGGAGGGAGGGAGGGAGGGAGGGAGGAAGGAAGGAAGGAAGGAAGGAAGGAAGGAAGGAAGGAAGGAAGGAAGGAAGGAAGGGAAGGAAAAAAAGAATAACAGAATAACAGACTCGAACGGACCTTGGAGGTCATCTAGTCCATGTATGTATAGACCTACACCCTTACATATAAGTAACATCTAAATATTAATCTCTGTCCATCTTGAAAGATTAGATTAGATTAGATTAGAGTAGAGTAGATTACCCTTATTGTCATTTTTTTTTCCTGTGTTCATAATGGCACACATTAAAAATGAAATTTAGTTGCTCGCTCTCAAAGCGTACACATACAAAACACACATTTAAACATACTTTATACAACATATATATAGACCTACACCCTTACATATAAGTAACATCTAAATATTAATCCCTGTCCATCTTGAATATATAGATTAGATTAGATTAGGATTAGGATTAGGATTAAATAACCTTTCTTGTCATTTTTTTTTCCTGTGGACACAACGGCACACATTAAAAATGAAATTTAGTTGCTCGCTCTCAAGGGTTACTTACATAATATACATTCTCCCCTGTGGAATTTACAGAATTTTACTTAACATAAATTTTGGGGACCCCCGTTGTGTTCATAAGCCGAGAACAACCTGTGCGGAAATAGAACGGAGTAGAAAATGGTAGAAAATTATTGAAATAAACACCCTCTTCAGCCCCTAACTAAGACATTTTTCCTGTTGCAAAGACTGCAACGGCTCTTTTTTGGTTTTTAGGAGATTTACAACTGCCACAAAACATGGCCTGTTGCGCCTTTGGGAACAAAATCACAACAATAAGGGTTTCCTGCAGCTTTCCGTTCCTTTCCAGGAGCAGCCAAGGAGCTCGAGTGTCTGATATTTCCTTTGTCACACACTGTGGGATTTGCACGGTTGCGTACAAGAGGGGAAGTTCTCCAGACAAAGAGTTTACGGAGGGAGGGGTCCTCGACTTATGACCACAACTGAGAACAGAACAGGAACAGAACAGAACAGAATAGAATAAAAAATATGGAATGGAATGGAATGGAATGGAATAGAATAGAATAGAGCTGGAAGGGACCTTGGAGGTCATCTAGTCCAGCCCCCTGCTCAAGCAGGAGAACCTATACCATCTCAGACAAGTGACTGTCTGGCCACTTCTTAAAAACCTCTGGCGATGGAGCGCCCACGATTTCTGAAGTCTTCCTGGAGAAGATTCAACTAAATCAAGTGTTTTCAACTATGGACCCTACTGACTTTGCCAACCCCCCTAGCCCCAGCCCCAGGACCCCCCCCCGGGGTACCTTTTGGGGTGCATTGATCACCCCGATGTTGTATCCGAATTGCAAGGATCCCAAGATGGCCGTGAGAACAGACAGGAGTAAAACGGGGGTCATTCCATTTCCAGCTGCCTCGCCGCCCTGGAAAACAGAATTCCCTGGTTAATTTCGCAGCACGGAGAAATGGGGGACCCCGGCACATTTGGGGCGAATTGTCCCCCCCCAAAAAAGCAATAAAATAATAAAATAATATAAAACATTCCCTTCAATAAAACGGGTGTTTTGTTTTTCTTCGTTTCGAACCTTATCCGGTTTAAAACAGGGGGACTTCAACTCCCAGAAGTCCCCAGGCACCAGTACCAGCTGGGGGATTCTGGGAGTTGAAGTCCAGCCATCATTAAATGGTTACGGCAGGGGGTCTTCAAACTTGGCCCTTTGATGACTTGTGGACTTCAACTCCCAGAATTCCTCAGCCAGTGTGAGGGAAATAGGATCCTTTTATCACTTGTGGACTTCAACTCCCAGAATTCCTCAGCCAATGTGCCTGGTTGAGGAATTCTGGGAGTTGAAGTCCACAAGTCATACAAGGGCCAAGTTTGAAGACCCCTGGGTTAGGGTGTGGATGGGTGGACTTCAACTCCCAGAATTCCTCAGGCAGCAACGCCAGCTGGGGAATTCTGGGAGTTGAAGTCCAGTTATCTTCAAATGGTGGGGGGGGCAGGATGGACTTCAACTCCCAGAATACTCTAGGCAGCACTGCTGACTGAGGGATTCTGGGAGTTGAAGTCCACCGATTTTAAAATAGCTTCAACTCTCAGAACTCCCTGGAATTTTCCCAGAATCCTCCAGCCAGCTGCTTATGACAGCCCCTGAAATCAAATCGCTTAGTGGTGGCCTTTTGGCACCACCGATTAACATGTTTTTCCAACTTGGCACTTTGAAGATGGGTGGATTACAAGGCCCAGAATTCCCCAGGCCTCAAATCTGGCTGGGGGCCTTCTGGGAGTTGAAGCCCACCCTTCTTAAAACGGCTCAGGTTTTGTACCTGCCGCTCCTACCCGTTGCTCCACCGGATTGCAAAACAAGAGGCGAAAGGGCAGGCCGATTCGGAAACATGCAGCCACAGGCCCATAATCCACAGCCCCTAAGGCAACGTCCCTCTGCGCAAGACAGGGCACGCACTCGGGCACAGAAGATGCCCTATTTTTCTTCCCAATCCTTCAACCCTCCCCGTTTTGGAATTCCTGGCGAATAAAACACCTTGGAGGGAGGCCAGATCCAGCCTTAAGGAGTCCAAAAAATCATCTATTTCCTGCTGCAATTATTTTTTTTTTCATTTTTTGCTACACCCTGCACAAACACACACACACACACACCCCAAAAAAGATCAATTCACAGGGCAGAAGCAACGCCAATTGTCCAAACAATGGAAGGAGGAGAATTATGAATAATTCTGTAATTAATTCTGTAATTGCTATCCTCCGGGAATCGGCCAGGAACCCAGCTTGCTCAGAATTTTGGGCAAAAAAGAAATCAATATTTTTATTTAAGTATTCGACTGGAACCACCCTGTGGCGGCCCTCGTGTGGCCCACACCTTGCGCGACAAGGAAGAGAGAGAAAGGACGGCAAACAGCACACAACCACACAGGAAGAAAGTTGGCAAGGAGGGGCTTGCACTGTCAGAAATGGAACGCTCTTGTGTTGTGTTTGTGTGTTGCAGTGGAAGCTCTAAAACAACTCAAGCAACAACCTGCCTCTACCGGTTAAATCCTGGAGAGATTTAGCCACGGAAATTTGGGGCTCATAAATTGAGGACTACCTGTAATAATAAGCGGTAGTGACAGATTTTATCTTCCTGGGCTCAAAGATCACCTCAGATGGGGACTGCAGCCAAGAAATTAAAAGACGCTTGCTCCTGGGGAGGAAAGCTATGGCAAATCTAGACAGCATACTAAAAAGCAGAGACATCACCCTGCCAACAAAAGTGCGTATAGTCCAGGCCATGGTTTTCCCAGTTGCAATGTATGGCTGTGAAAGTTGGACCATAAGAAAGGCTGAGCGCAAAGAATTGAGGCCTTTGAACTATGGTGCTGGAGAAGACTCCTGCGAGTCCCTTGGACTGCAAGGCGTTCAAACCGGTCAGTCCTAGAAGAGATCAACCCCGACTGCTCTTTAGAAGGCCAGATCCTGAAGTTGAAACTCAAATACTTTGGCCACCTAATGAGAAGGAAGGACTCACTGGAGAAGGGCCTAATGCTGGGAAAGATTGAGGGCAACAGAAGAAGGGGACGACAGAGAATGAGATGGCTGGATGGAGTCACTGAAGCAGTAGGTGTGAACTTAAATGGACTCCAGAAGATGGTAGAGGACAGGAAGACCTGGAGGAACGTTGTCCATGGGGTCGCGATGGGTCGGACACGACCTCGCAATTAACAACAACAAAAAATAATAAGCACCACTTCAACACCATTGACAGATTCACCATCAGTCAATTGCAAAAGGCAGCTTTGCTTGGAAGAGCTTAAATCTTCAGCCCCACCAAACATCCACATCTGCCTCTCCCAGGACCCCGGAAAGGGCTGGAGAGATGGATAAAAAGGCCAAATCCAGTCTGAACCTCTGGCCGATGGTGTGACCGACCATAATAATCCCAAAACATCTGGAGCATCCCTTGAACACTGTCGGCATTGACGAAATCCCCGTCGGTCAATTGCAAAAGGCAGCTTTGCTCAGAAGAGCTTAAATCCTACCAGAGAAAATCTTCAACCTCATCAAACATCCACATCTGCCGAACCAGTGGAACAACTTGCCTCCAGAAGTTGTGAATGCTCCAACACTGGAAGTTTTTAAGAAGAAATTGGACAACCAGGTATAGGGGGTTGGACTAGATGACCTCCAAGGTCCCTTCCAACTCTGTTATTCTATTCTATTCTATTCTATTCTATTCTATTCTATTCTATTCTATTCTGTAATTCTATTCTCTTCTTCTTTCTTCTGTAATTCTGTAATTCTATTTTATTCTATTCTGTTCCGTTCTGTTCTCTTCTGTAATTCTGTAATGCTGTAATTCTCTTCTCTTCTGTAATTCTGTAATTCTGTAATTAATTCTGTAATTCTATTCTATTCTTTCTATTCTATTCTATGATTCTATTCTATTCTGTAATTCTATTCTATTCTATTCTATTCTGTGATTCTATTCTATTCTGTAATTCTATTCTATCCTGTAATTCTGTTCTCTTCTCTTCTCCTTTCTTCTGTAATTCTGTAATTCTATTCTATTCTACTCTGTTCCGTTCTGTTCTCTTCTGTAATGCTCTAATTCTCTTCTCTTCTGTAATTCTGTAATTAATTCTGTAATTCTATTCTATTCTATTCTGTGATCTATTCTATTCTATTCTTTATCCATCTATAAAGTCCTGGGGAAGATGGACAAAAATGCCCAATCCACTGTACACATCTGGCTGATTGCAACGAACCACGTAATAAGGATGCAAAATCTGGATTAAAAACGTCGAATCCGGTCCAAACCTCTGGCTGACTCTTGTCCCCAACCCTAATCATCACGGATGGCACCAGCTTCAAGGCCAAAGTGCAATGGACACCCAGCCCCATGTTCTCCAGCCCTTTCCATAACCCTTCTCCCCAATGACCCCAGGTAACCTCGGCCCAGCGCTGGCTGTCGTCCTGAAAGCACACACTGGCTGCCAGTCCCTGGGGTCCCACTGATCCTTTATTTTATTTATTCTTATTTATTAAATATATTTGCTGCCCTGGTTTCAGAATGACTCTAGGCACCATGGAAACACATTCGCATCCCAAATCAGTCAATTATACAGGCAGTCCTCAACTTACGACCACATTTCCGTCGCTCAATGAGACAGCTGCTAAATGAACTTTGCCCCATTTTATGACCTATCTTGCCACAGCAGTGAATCCCTGCAGTTAGTAAGTCGGTAATACGGTCGTTAAGCGAATCAGGCTTTCCCCCCCCCCCATTGACTTTGCGTGTCAGAAGGTCACAAAAGGGGTTCACATGACCCCCCCCCGGGACGCTGCAACCGTCGTAAATACGAGCCAGTTGCTGAGTGTCCGAATTTGGCTCACGCGACCGTGGGGATGTTGCGACGGTCGTTAAATGTGAAAAACAGCCCCCGGTTCCCTTTTTTTTCAGCGCCGTCGTAACCGTCACTCAGTGAACTTTGTGGCAAGCCGGGGACTTAACCGGTAATGCAACTAAGCTCTACCCGCGATCGGAAAGAAATCATAAACTTTTATTCCCACCCAATCGTTCGCGTCAGAGACGCCAAAAATACACAATGGCCGATTTATGGCAGAAGGTCATAAATATGTGACGCCATTTGCAGAAGAGATGTTTGAATTTGAGAGGCGGGATTATTAAGGGATCTTACTGGGAGGGCTTTCCTTAAACTACAACATTCATTCATTCATTCATTCAAAAATTCATTTCTTTTACATTTCCTGTTTCTATTTATTTAAAAATTCGTTTATTTTACCTTTCCTGTTTCTGTTTGGTTTTTTATTCAAAAATTCATTTATTTTACATTTCCTGTTTCTGTCTGTCCATCTGTCTGTCTGTCTATCTATATCTCTCATTTATAAATTCATTCATAAATCCATTTATTTTACATTTCCTGTTTGTTTATTTAAAAATTTATTTATTTTACATTCTATCTATCTATCTATCTATCTATCTATCTGTCTGTCTATTTATAAATTCATTCATATTTATTTTACATTTCCTGTTTGTTTATTTAAAAATTCATTTCTTTTACATTTCATCTATCTATCTATCAATTCATTCATAAATTCATTTATTTTACATTTCCTGTTTGTTTTTTATTTAAAAATTCATTTCTTTTACATTTCCTGTATCTATTTATAAATTCATTCTTATTCATTTTACATTTCCTGTTTGTTTATTTAAAAATTCATTTCTTTTACATTTCCTCTATCTATCTATTTATCTATCTATCTATCTATCTATCTATCTATCCACTACCATCCATTTATAAACATTCATAAATTCATTTCTTTTACATTTCCTGTTTGTTTATTTAAAAATCCATTTCTTTTACATTTCATCTATCTATCTATCTATCTATCTATCTATCTATCATCCATCTATTTATAAATTCATTCATAAATTCATTTATTTTACATTTCCTGTTTGTTTATTTAAAAATTCATTTCTTTTACATTTCCTCTATCTATCTATCTATCTATCTATCTATCTATCTATCTATCTATCTATCTATCTATCTATCTATCTATCTATCCACTACCATCCATCTATCTATCTATTTATAAATTCATTCATACATTCATTTCTTTTACCTTTCCTGTTTCTGAAGCCGCCCCCTCTTCGCCCGAGACGGAGGGAGGGAGGGAGGAATCAAATTCTCACGCAAACTTTTCTTGCCTGATTTTTTTTGGGGGGGGGGGGAGACCCGTTTTGCAATCCGGGGTGCTGAAAAACTCCAGCCGCCAACCCGCAGGTTTCACACGACTAACTCGCGGGCCCTCTGTTTGCTTACGAGCAAAAGATGGATGGACTCGCATTGCCCCGTTGAATTGCTCCAGGAAAGCTTCCCACTCGCGGGCTGCGCTGCGCTCGGCTGGGTCCAGAGCCGCACCTGGAGAATCCAGGTGAGAGTGCCAACCTGCCCAGGTGAGGCAGGCGGGAGATTGGACGAGCTCGCCTTTATGACAAGGCCCCAGGGAAGGAACCTCGCGCGTCTGAACGTGCCCAGCGGCTCCCGGGCTCGCTTCCCTTGGGCTTCCCCCCTCGGACCGTTACGCCGCCGACTCCCTTCTCTACACGCATCCTAAGCGGCGTCTCTTTCCTTGCGTCCTCCTCCGCCCTCCAAGGTCATTCTGCACGTTCCACCAAAGCCCCCGCTTGCCCTTGGCTCTGCCCCCCCCAAAGGCCGGGACCCCCGACCCAACGCCGAGCCCGTTCACACGTGCACAACGCCCCGAGTCAGCCCGACTTGGCACCGTCGGCGCGCAAAACCCCCCACCCACCCACCCAGCCAGCCAGCCAACCGGGGAACAGAAGCAGGGTTTTTTTGTGGTGGGGGGGCACCACCCTCGAAAGGGGGGGGCTCCGAAGCAGTGGCACCTACCCTCCTCCTTCTGCCCAGCCCCATCCTCAGCAGCGGCCGGCCGGCGACAGTCGCCCACTCTTAGCAACTGGCGCTGGCAACTACACAAAAAGCGTTTGCGAGCGACACACCCCGTGTCCGCCCTTTCCCCTCCCTACTTTTCGTAGGGAAGGGTTGAGTTCACAGGGAGGAGCGCCGGCCAGGATAAGCGCGGAGTCGGCGGGGCAGGGGGGGATAAGGGAGAGGAAGCCGCCAGGAAGAGACACGCAATAGCAAAAGTATCTGCGGATTGTGGGTCATAGAATCATACAATAGAATAGAGCTGGAAGGGACCTTGGAGGTCTTCTAGTCCAGCCCACCCGCCCTGCTGCTCGACCAGGAGAACCTAGGCCGTCTCAGACCAGTGACTGTCCAGTCTCTTCTTAAAAACCTCCAGTGATGGAGCGCCCACGATTTCTGGTGGCAAGCAGTTCCACTGGTTCATTGTCCTTAAGTTTCTCCTTAATTCCAGGTGGCTTCTCTCTTTGGTCAGTTCCCAACCACTGTTTCCCGTCCTGCCCTCTGCTGCTTTGGAGAATAACGTGACTCCCCTCCTCTTTGGGGCAGCCCCCCAAATACTGGAATACCGCTATCATGTCTCCCGTTTTTTCTTTTCTTTAGACTGGCCAGACCCGAGTCCCGCAGCTGTTCTTCACATGTTTTAGTCTCCAGGCCTTGGATCATCTTAGTAAGTTGCTGTTCTCTGGATCACGTCCTTTAGGTCAGAAGCCCCACCCCCACTTTTTTTTATTTCCTCCTGGCCCCAGATTCTGGGTGAGACCTGGGAATAGAATAGAATAAGATATAAGAATAGAATAGAATAGAATAGAATAGAATAGAATAGAATAGAATAGAATAGAATAGAATAGAATAGAATAGAATAGAATAAGAAATAAGAATAGAATAGAATAGAATAGAATAGAATAGAATAGAATAGAATAGAATAGAATAGAATAAGAAATAAGAATAGAATAGAATAGAATAGAATAGAATAGAATAGAATAGAATAGAATAAGAAATAAGAATAGAATAGAATAGAATAGAATAGAATAAGAAATAAGAATAGAATAAGAAATAAGAATAGAATAGAATAGAATAGAATAGAATAGAATAGAATAGAATAGAATAATAATATAGAGTAGAATAGAATAGAGGAATATAGAAATAGAATAGGATAGGATAGGATAGGATAGGATAGACCAGTGGTTCTCAACCTTTTTAATGCCGCGACCCCCAATCGGTCGTAAGTCGAGGACTACTCAACCGGTCGTAAGTCGAGGACTACTCAACTGGTGCAGCACCGTTTGCAGAATGGGACTTTGGCGGGCTCAGCAGGGCAGAGACAGCCTGGACAATTCCTATTGGCTTTTGAAAGCCAATAGAATTAGACTCTATTCAAGAGAGTCTATTCTATTGGCTTTCAAAGCCAATAGAATAAAAGGGAGTAGCACAGCTAAGGAAAAGGGGGAAAAAATGGTGGACTGTGTTGTTTGGCGACCCCCGTGAAATGGTCGCTCGACCCCAAATGGGGTCCCGACCCACAGGTGGAGAACCACTGGAATAGAAGAATAGAATAGAATAGAATAAGAAATAAGAATAGAATAGAATAGAATAGAATAGAATAATATAGAGTAGAATAGAATAGAGGAATATAGAAATAGAATAGAATAACAATATAGAATAGAATATAGGCATATAGAATAGAACAGAACAGAATAGAATAGGAATAACAGAGCTGGAAGGGACCTTGGAGGTCATCTAGTCCAGCCCCCTGCTCAAGCAGGAAACCCTACACCATTTCCAGCCTCTTCTTAAAAACTTCCAGTGTTGGAGCATTCACAACTTCTGGAGGCAAGTTATTAACAGGCGGGGTTCGTTTCCATGGCATTTTCATTCATTTATTTATTTTTTAACTGTAATTGGAGAAACGAGCCCCTCAAAGCAAGACTCCCCACGGAAGGAACTGGACTGAAACAAACAGATATTTTGCACGAATGGGTGCGTGTGTCATACAGGAAGAACTGTGCTGCCAGCCTCCCACATTTGCACAAACGTAGTTTGTGCGTGCGTGCGTTTGTGAACGTGTGTGAGTGACGGGGGGGGGGGGAATGGGAGTATTCTGCTGTCAGCCTCGCTTATTGACCTCAACGTAGTTCGTGTGTTATATGTGCGTTTGTGTCTTTTTGTGCCGTCAGAGTCCCTCTGGTTTAGGGTTTCCTGGCTGAAAGTATTGTGTGTCCGTGTGTGTATGTTTGTCTCTTTTTGTGCGCCTCTGAAATATTTGAGCCTGTCTGCTTGAAACAGGAAATTCGCCTCTTTGCATAAATGTACTGCGTCCGTTCGTGTGTGTGTGTGTGTGTGTGTGTGTGTGTGTGTGTTTTTCTGGGTTTGTTGTGTGCGCGTGTGTCTTTTCCCGCTGCCCAACGTCTCCGCCTGCTTCGGCACTAAGCAAGGAAATTCGCTGGGGAAGACCTCTTTTTTTTTTTTTTTTCCCTCCGTCCCTGTTGCATTTCTGCCTGGGTCCAGGCTCCTGGGAGCAACTCAAGAGAGTTTAAATACGGGGGGGGAGAGATGGGGGGGAGAGAGACCCCGGAAATGGGGCGAGGGAGGGATGGCGTGCGCCCCCCTCCCCAGGAAACTTCGCAAGACTTCTCGCAATAGAAAAAGGGAGCTGGCCAGCAAAGCGCTGCAAACGGCCAATTTTGACTTTTTCCCCCTCCTTTTTAAAGACTTTCCTCGCAAGCCTCAGGCGTGGGAAGGCTTGAGTATTTGGGGGGGGGTCAGCGGGTGGGGGGGGGTGAGGAGGCGGAGTCTCCTTCCCAAATTCAGCGCTGCCCACCCCTCCACCCCCGCATTTTCCCGGACTTGCAGCCCCCAAGTCCTTATTAGGGAATAAACTCAAAAGCCAGGAAGCTTTACTCGGAAACAGCTATCTTAGGAATGAAGAGCTGTCCCTTTAAGGCATGGCCTTCTGGGTAATGTAGTTTTGAAGTGACCTGGTCTCACATCTGGGTTTCGGATTGGCCACTGGAGGGAGGGGCTTCGGATTAATTGCGGGAGTTCCTGGCTACGTGCCAGCCAGCGAGGGTCTTTGTGGATTCCAGCCACGAGGACTTTTTGTTCCGTTCGCACGGAAGAAACTCGGTTCTTTTCAACTACGTGTTGGGTCCAGATTGTGCAAGCAACGCCAGGAGAATCTCTTCAGTAGCTGTGAGTTGATGTTTAGAGAACGCCTGACGAATTGAACTAACCTGCGTGAAACTTTTCCGTGGAGTTTCTCTGCCTGTTATCAAGCGATAGCCAGCAACAACCCCCCCCCCTTGCTTGATACAGGATAGTAAAAAGAGATAAGGTCTGAATCCTATCTACCTGGCTAAAATAATAATAATAATAATTAATAATAATAAATAATAATAAATAATAATAATAATATCATTTGCCTGTAAGCAAAAACTAGTGGGATCATAAAATAGAGAAAGTCATAGAACAGTGGTTCTCAACCTTTCTAATGCCGCGACCCCATAATACAGTTCCCCATGTTGTGGTGACCCCCAACCACTTATACATCACCGGGTGCCAGGGGCATGGCCAAAGAAAAGGGGGAAAAAATGGTGGACAGCCTTGTTTGGCGACCCCCATGAAATGGTCGTCCCGACCCACAGGTTGAGAACCACTGTCATAGAAAATGATAAAATTAAACTGCTCTGGGACTTCAGAAGTCAAACAGACAAGCACTTGCAACATAACACCCCAGACTTAACAATTGTCGATAAGAAAGACAAAAAGTCTGGATAGTGGACGTGGCAGTGCCTGGAGATAGCAGAATAGAAGAGAAAGAACTGGAGAAGATAACAAAATACAAAGACCTACAAATAGAATTAGAAAGACTGTGGCAAAAGCAAGCAAGGGTAGTACCAATAGTCATAGGCTCCTTGGGTGAAATCCCAAAACAACTGGAGCACCACTTGAACACCATTGGCATTGACAATTTCGCTATTAGTCAATTGCAAAAGGCGGCCTTACTAGGAACTGCTTCCATCCTGCGACGATATCTGTAATACCATCAAACATCCACATCTGCCTATCCCAGGTCCTGGGTAAGGACTCGATAGGTAGACAAAATGCTAAATCCAGTCTGAACATCTGGCTGACTGTGCGACGATCCATAATAATAATAATAATAATAAAATTGGATGGGACCTTGGAGGTCATCTAGTCCAATCCCCTGCTCAAGCAGGAAACCCTACACCATTTCGGACAAACTGCTATCCAGTCTCTTCTTAAAAACTTCCAGTGATGGAGAAGGGAGGGAGGGAGGAAGGAGGAAGGAAGGAAGGAAAAAAAGAATAACAATAACAGAGGGAGGGACCTTGGAGGTCATCTAGTCCAATCCCCTGCTCAGGCAGGAAACCCTACACCATTTCAGACAAATGGCTGTCCAGTCTCTTCTTAAAAACTTCCAGTGATGGAGGAGGGAGGGAAGGAGGAAGGAAGGAAGGAAGGAAGGAAGGAAGGAAGGAAGGAAGGAAGGAAAAAAGAATAACATAGTAACAGATGGAAGGGACCCTGCAGGTCATCTAGTCCAACCCCCTGCTCAGGCTGGAAACCCTATACCAGAGGTAGGCAACCTTGGCTCCTTTGTGACTTGTGAACCTCAATTCATAAAAGCCAAGGTTGCCTACACCTGCCCTATAACATTTCAGACAAATGGCTGTCCAGTCTCTTCTTAAAAACCTCCAGTGTTGGAGCATTCACCGCTTCTGGAGGCAAGGAGTTCCACAGGTTAATTGTTCTAACTGTCAGAAATTTTCTCCTTAGTTCCAGGTTGCTTCTCTCTTTGATGAGTTTCCATCCGTTGCTTCTTGTCCTGCCTTCAGCTGCTTTGGAGAATAGCTTGACTCCCTCTTCTTTGGGGCAGCCCCTGAGATATTGGAACGCGGCTATCATGTCCCCCCTCATCCTTCTTTTCATTAAACTGGACATACCCAATTCCAGCAACCGTTCCTTATATGTTTTAGCCCCCAGTCCCCTAATCATCTTTGTTGCTCTTCTCTGTACTCTTTCTAGAATCTCAACCTCTTTTTTACATCGTGGTGTCCAAAACTGGATGCAGTATTCCAAGTGTGGCCTTACCAAGTCCTTGTAAAGTGGTATTAACCCTTCATGTGATCTTGATTCTGTCCCTCTGTTAATGCAGCCTAACACTGTGTTGGCTTTTTTGGCAGCTGCAGCACGCGGCCGGCTCCTATTGAAGTGACTGTCTACTAAGACTCCGAGATCCCTCTCACAGTTGCTACCATTGAGCAAGGTCCCACCTTGTAAAGAGACAATTTAAAAACGGAGAAAAGATGCAGATGCGTGTTCGAATCCTGTGGCCTGCCTAAAGAAAGGAAAAGACTCTTTTGCTAAGACACGGCGGATAAAGCCAGCTAGTCAGCTCACTCTGAATGTGAAAAGTTCAGAGCCCCTGCAGATGTTTCTTCCCGCAAGATAAAATAATAACCAGCCTACATTGATCCACAACCACCATTCAGCCCCCCTCTTGATTCTTGCTTAAAGGAACTAACGAAGCCAACCCCCCCCCTTTAGAATTGCAAACGCCCACAGTCCAAGTTGGGATCTTAATTTCGGGTGATCAAACCCTTAAAGAGATTCCAGAATCGGACGGCCAGCCTTGCAACTCTCATCAAAGGGAAGTCAGCAGCCAGTTTATCCTAGTGGTCTAGGCGCAGCGCCCTCTGGTGATCAATCTCCAAACAACAGGCCTGTGTTCCTGTGTACAGCGCACCCTAGTGGTTTATACGCAGCGCCCTCTGGTGGCCAATCTCCAAACAACAGGCCTGTGTTCAAGCTATCTGTGTACAGCGCACCTTAGTGGTCTAGGCGCAGTGCCCTCTGGTGGCCAATCAGCAAACAACAGGCCTGTGTTCAAGCTATCTGTACAGTGCACTCTAGTGGTCTAGGTGCAGCGCCCTCTGGTGGCCAATCTTCAAACAACAGGCCTGTGTTCAAGCTGTGTACAGCGCACCCTAGTGGTCTGGGCGCAGTGCCCTTTGGTGGCCAATCAGCAAACACCAGGCCTGTGTTCAAGCTATCTGTGTACAGCGCACTCTACAATATCTACACAGCATCTATGGATCCCCCAACACCCTTGAGCAGAAGGAGAGACGGGTCACCTTGGAGAGGAAATTTAGATTTGGCATCCAGGTGTGTGCACCAATTCTCTGACAAGCTGGGGAAGGAATATATATTATGGAAGCGATTTTTCGGGAATGCCATTCGCAACGAAGGGTTGGAGCCCGCCGAAGAGCTCGGGCTTATGATAGCATGGCTGGGACTAGAATCTGCAGAAGTAGTAAAGGACATCTACTCGTCCCACCTGGGTAACCCAGACACCGCCCTCAAGGAAGCGTGGGATATGCTGGATCGACACTATGGGGCACCTATGTTGATGGAGTCGTCCTTCTTGGATCCTATCTACGAATTCCCTGACATCCGTCTCAGAGAACCTCGCAAACTGCTATCATTCGAAAGCTACCGCGGAAGTTAGCTGAAGAATGGATCCACTTATCTCAAGATTACGAGACAAAGAATCAAGATGGGGTTCCCCCCTTTGCTGTCCTTGAAGAATTTGTGGCCCGCCAGGCCGAGCTGTACAATAACCCTGAATACATCAACATCAGAGAAGGAGAGTTCCCTGCAGCCAAAAAGGCCAGTCAGAACTCCGGCGCGAGCAAGGGTCTGTTCCAAAGTGCAAAGGGGAAAACCCTTGCATCCGTGCGGAAGACAGTGGCTGCTCCTTTGCCCACGAAGAATTCAGACGAGCGATTGTGGAAGAAAGCTCCAGCTAAACCTCTGCCAATAAAGGAAGGCCCAGTCTGTCCGTTCCACAAGTCCTCACATTCCCTGAACAAGTGCCGAGCGTTCGGAAAGAAGCCCCTGGACGAACGCAAGGCTTTGCTCAAGGAGTACAAGGTCTGCTACAAGTGCGGTGAGTCTACGCAACACGTGGCCAAAGCTTGCGCGGCTCAGGTGAAGTGTCCCCTATGCAAGAGCGACAAGCACCCGGGAGCCCTGCATCCAGACTCTGAGCAGCTACAACCAGCGACTTCTACTCCTCCTTCCAGCGAGGAGCCTCAGCGTGGCTCCAAAGGGCACCCAGAGTTGATCGCGATGGTCAATTGCACGTCAATATGTGATGACTCACCACCCCGTCGTTCATGCACCCACATACCAGTTAAACGCAGTCAGATCGCAACGCCGGACTGTCCCAGCGACTTCCAGCTACAACCAGCGACTTCTACTCCTCCTTCGACCGAGGAACCTCAGCGTGGCTCCAAAGGGCACCCAGAGTTGATTGCGAGAATCAATTGCCTGGTAGCATATGGTGCCTCAATACCTCCTCCTTCATTCAGCCCGACCTGCTTAGCTAAAGTCTACCCCGCCGGGCGCCCAGAAGAAGCCGTGAAGGTGTACGTATCGGTGGCTCCACTAAGCACTCATTCAATAGCCAGGTCAGCGGTCTTCGACCTCTTTGATGTCCCAAGTGAAGAGATGCCTTACACATTATTAACGTACACTGGGTCCCTGCGCACGGTGGGGAGGGTCATCGCTGGACTCTGCATCGAGTCATTGGATGGCAGTTCGCGGTTCCCACTGCCGCCATTGCTCGAATGGGACAACATACCAATTGATCACAGTCAGATTGGAACGCGAGAAACAGCAAGGGCCATACCTCACCTGAGGCACATGGCGGATCTCTTTCCTCCCCTGGATCCTGAAGCCGAAATCCTACTTCTGTTGGGACAAGACGCCCCTCTGCTCCTTGGTTGTGAGAGAAGGATCAGAGGCCCACCAGACACCCCAGTTGCCCTCAAGACGGAACTCGGATGGGTCCTCGTAGGAACGGTCAGTGTCCCATCGGCTGCAAGCTCCGACCAGGCGAACGTCCCAGCAACTTCCATTCTTCGTAATGGGAGAGCGTCCCCCTTGAAACCATGCCAAAGAACACTTTACGCTTTCGAACATTAAGCCTCAACTAAAAGAGCCCCAAACATCAAGCACCCTGTCATCCTTCCCGCTCGTCAACATGTCACGAGCCTGCTGGTCCAACACTACCACGAAACCGCCCACCATCAAGGTCGGCACTTCGCAGAAGGTACCATCAGAAGCTGCAGGACTCTGGATCGTGGGAGGCCAAAGGTGCGTCGCTACTGTCTTGTACAGGTGCCTGTGTTGTCGCAAACAACGGGGCGCGACACAACACCAGTTGATGGTTGACCTGCCACCCAAGTGCCTTAGTCCCAGACCGCTATTTACCAACATGGGCCTAGACGTCTTTGGCCCGTGGTCCGTGACTGTTCATCAGACCAGAGGTGGTCAAGTCAACAGCAAACGCTGGACCGTCCTCTTCACACGTCTTAGCATCTGATCCGTTCACATCGAAGTCATCAAATCCATGGACACTTCTTACTTCATCAATGCCCTAAGGAGGTTCCAAACCTACAGAGGTCCAGTTAAGGCTTTTAGATAAGTGGTTCTCCACCTGTGGGTCAGGACCCCATTTGGGGTCGAACGACCATTTCACGGGGGTCGCCAAACAACGCAGTCCCCACCATTTTTTCCCCCCTTTTCCTCAGCTGCGCTACTCCCTTTTATTCTATTGGCTTTTGAAAGCCAATAGAAGAGACTCTCTTGAATAGAGTCTAATTCTATTGGCTTTCCAAAGCCAATAGGAATTGTCCAGGCTGTCTCTGCCCTGCTGAGCCCGCCAAAAGTCCCATTCTGCAAACGGTGCTGCACCAGTTGAGTAGTCCTTGACTTACGACCAGTTGGGGGTCGCGGCATTAAAAAGGTTGAGAACCACTGTTTTAGATCTAGCCGCGGGACTAACTTTGTCGCAGCCTGCAAGGAACTACAAATTGACAAAGGCACTCGCCACGATTCACCAAATGACGAATACCTAAAGGCCCGAACTGTGTATGGACATTTAATCCTCCCCACGCATCCCACATGGGAGGAGCGTGGGAATGCATGATTGGCGTAGCCCGCAAAATCCTGGACTCCATATTGACAAAGACACCCACGCTGACGCAGGAGATCCTCACCATCCTCGTGGCAGAAGTGGCAGCTATCATCAACGCTCGACTTTTGATTCCAGTTTCCACGGATCCTGAAAATCCAGCTATCCTCATTGCGGCCGCCTTGCTGACCCAGAAGACAGGCAACTGGCCGGCACCACTAGGGAACTTTGTTCCCAAAGACACGTACAAACAACAATGGAGACAAATTCAACTGCTGGCCAACGCTTTCTGGAAGCGCTGGAAGCAAGAATACTTGTCTACCCTACAAGATCGCCGCAGATGGAAGATCTACCCTTGAAGGAGACGTTGTCTTGTTGAGAGACAAGGACGCCCACACCAGAACACTTGGCCTATAGGGCTTGTGCACCAAGTTCTACCCAGCTCCGATGGACTTCTTCGCCAAGTTGAAGTCCAGACCGCGAAGCCACTAGAGTCATGTCGTGACTCACAGACTCTCGTTTACACCAGGCCAATCACCGACCTGGTACTGCTGCGGAAGAAGACCGAACACGAAGATTGAACCTCGAGTTATGCATGTTTTGTATTTACCTCATAATCGCATTGTGTTGATGCTATGTTTTTGCTTATTTTAGTTAGTAGTTAGTTAATAGTGGAAATTTTATAAGTCCAGGCAGGGAGTGTGCTGGTCTGAGTAAATAGCTATCTTAGGAATTAAGAACTGTCCCCTTAAGGCTTCTGGGTAATGTAGTTTTAAGTTACCTGGACATATCTGTGTTTCTGATTGGCCACTGGGGGGGGGACTTCTGATTAGTTACGGGATTTCCTGGCTACGTGCCAGCCAGCAAGGTCTTTGTGAATTCCAGCCATGAGGATTTTTTGTTCCGTTCACATGGAAGAAACTCAACTCTTTTTATCTACGTGTTGGGTCCAGATTATGCAATCAACGCCAGAAGAATCTCTCCAGTAAATGATGTGAGTTGATGTTTAGAGAATGCCTGATGAATTAAAGTAATCTTCATAAAACCCTTTCCGTGGAGTTTATCTGCCTGTATCAAGCGATAGCCAGCAACAGCCTTGCTTGATACAGAGGCTCTGTTAATAATAATAATAATAATAATAATAATAATAATAATAATAATAATAATAATAGTGCAAAGAAGCTGAAGAAACAGTGGACCACTTGGTAAGCTGTTGCAAGAAGATTGCATAGACTGACTACAAGCAGCGGCATGACAAAGTAGCAACAATGGTGCATTGGAAGATCTGCAAGAAATATCATTTGCCTGCCAGCCAGAACTGGTGGGACCATAAAATAGAGAAAGTCATAGAAAATGATAAAATTAAACTGCTCTGGGACTTCAGAATTCAAACAGACAAGCACCTGCAACATAACACCCCAGACTTGACAATTGTCGATAAGAAAGACAAAAAAGTCTGGATAGTGGACGTGGCAGTGCCTGGAGACAGCAGAATAGAAGAGAAAGAACTGGAGAAGATAACAAAATACAAAGACCTACAAATAGAAATAGAAAGCCTGTGGCAAAAGCAAGCAAGGGTAGTACCAATAGTCATAGGCTCCTTGGGTGCAATCCCAAAACAACTGGAGCACCACTTGAACACCATCATCGGCATTGACAAATTCGCTATTAGTCAATTGCAAAAGGCAGCCTTGCTAGGAACTGCTTCCATCCTGCGACGATATCTGTAATACCCTCAAACATCCACATCTGCCTATCCCAGGTCCTGGGTAAGGACTCGATAGGGAGACAAAATGCCAAATCCAGTCTGAACATCTGGCTGACTGTGCGATGATCCATAATAATAATAATAATGATGATGATGATGATGATGTTGGAAGTGACCTTGGAGGTCATCTAGTCCAGGGCTTTTCACCCATTGCACCACTTTTAGGATATGGCAACATCCAAGGACTACCAGTCGCCTAGCAAGGTGTCAAAAACTTGATGACCAAAAAAAGGAAAAAAGTGATGAAGTACAGGTAGTCCCCGACTTACAACAGTGCGCTTAGTGACGGTTCGAAGTTACAATGGCACTGAAAAAAGTTCCCCCCAAGCCACAGCCGAGCAAGACACCTGCCTGCCCACCTGGCCATGCTCTTCCTCCTGTCCGAGGTTTTCATTGTTGTGAGCATTTCTGTTGAGGATTGGCAGCGGGGGGAGGGTGTGTCTGGTGTTTATCCCCTCCCCCGTCTGCTGGGTGGTTGCAGCAGGTTTTGCTCACTTCACATGACCCTGGGACACTGTGACCGTCATAAATATGAATCAGTTGCCAAGCATCTGAATGTAAATCACAAGACCCTGGAGAGGCTGCAACATTCCAGCTGATTGGCGCTTCTTCTGGGCTCAGCGGAACCGCCAGGATCAGTGCTGCTTTCCAGCTGATTGGTGCTTCTTCAGGGCTCAGCAGAAGCACCAGGATCAGCGCCGGGCTCCAGCTGGAGCCTGGCGCTGATCCTGGCGCCTCCGCTGAGCCCTGACAGCCCTGCAGCTCCAGTCGTCTCTCGCTCAGGCTTGTGCGGTGCTGCCACCAGTTCAGCTCATTCCCTTCCCTTGCTACCATTTTTCTAGGATGGTTGTGTACCACCTGCCAGGTGCCAATGGACCACAGGTGGTACCCGTAGCACTGGTTGAAAAGCCCTGATCTAGTCCAACCCCCTGCTCAGGCAGGAAACCCTGTACCATTTCAGACAAATGGCTGTCCAGTCTCTTCTTAAAAAGGAGGAGGAGGAATAACAGACTCGGAAGGGACCTTGGAGGTCATCTAGTCCAACCCCCAACTCAGGCAGGAAACCCTATGTACCATTTCAGACAAAGGGCTGTCCAGTCTCTTCTTCAAAACCTCCAGCGTTGCAGCATTGACAGCTTCTGGAGGCAAGGAGTTCCGCTGGTTAATTGCGCCAACTATCGTTACCTCGCGTGGCAATTCATTCCCCTTCAACCCAGGTTAACAGAAACACAATCACAACGTCACACAAGTTGACCGGACAAACGAAACCCCTTATGAGCCTGGTTCACACAACCTTCCGCTCTTCTCTGTCAAATTTCCCAGGTTTATTTTGCAAGTCCAGAAAATCTGGGGGAACTGCAGGTTGTCCTCAACGTACGACCGCCACAGAGCCCAACAATTCTGTTGTTCAGTGAGACATTTGTTGAGTGAGTTTGGCCCCAGTTTAAGACCTTCCTTGCCGCAGTGAATCCTCACAGTGGAATCGGATGGTCGCAAAACAGAGTTGTGTGACCCCCCTGGGGACAGTGTGACCGTCGTAAATACGAGTCAGTCGCCGAGCATCTGAATTTTGATCCCTTGACCGTGTGGAGGCTGCAACAGTGCAAAAATGTGTCCTAGGTCACTTTTTCCAGTGCCGTCGTACCTTGGAACGGTCACGAAATGAACTCTGTAAACTGAGGACTAGCTGCATGACTCTAATGCAGGAGCGGTGGTCAGCTAGGCCCAGCCGGCACAGGAATTCTGGGAGTTGAAGTCCACAAGTCCTAAAAGTTGGCGTGTTCTCTCGGGAACCACAGCTGTTCCTATTTCAGCAGTCTGGTTTGGGGTGCGGGCTGGGGAAGGCCCTCTGAGCATGCTCAGAGGGCGGTGCCTTTTCGTGACTCATTCTGCATTTTAGTCTATTTGAGGCAAGATCTCTAAGACGGCCTTTGCAGACCGGCCTGATCCCTCCCAAAGCGTGCCCAGGCAGAGATTAAAAAGTGTTTTTTACACACACCCCCCAAAGTATTCCAAATATGTTTGTTTCTCCTGGACAGCGATGACACATAAACACACACAGCTCCCACTGGGACCGCAAAGCAACCTCTCTCTCAAGGTCAGCCAAGGACACGGGAGGACTCTCTCGGTGTGTGTTTGTGTGTGTGCTCACGCGCGTGCGCTAGTGTGTATGCTAGGGACAACCCAGCTAAGTTGTGGGCAGATGCAGTTGTCGTGCTCAGATAAACACACACGCACACACACACACCCCCTCCGGAAAAAGAAATTTGAAACTCTGTCCCACCCAAATGGCAGTTCCTGGGAACCCGTGCTCCTTCCCAAGAAAAATAAACTGGCTTTTTGTTTGGTTTGTTTGATTTCTGGAAAAGAGATCCAGGTGGAGTTCGTTGGCCAGGATGGAGGAGATGTGGTGGTGGGCCAAGGGGCTGGGATGGGGGGTCTCTAGGAGCGCCCCTGTTCCTCCCCCCCCCCAGCCCTTTGTTCCAAAGCAGAAGCTTTTGCGGGCTCCCAAGAAAGGAAATAGACGGTGGGGAGGGAGGGAGGAAGGAAGGAAGGGAGGGAGGGAGGGAGGAAGGAAGGAAGGAAGGAAAAGAGACGGAGGGAGAAATGAAGGGAAGGGAAAATTGAAAAAAGAAAGAAAAAGTATGAGAAAAAGGGAGGGAGGGAGGGAGGAAGGAAGGAAGGAAAAGACGGAGGGAGGGAGAAATGAAGGGAAGGGAAGATTGAAAAAAGAAAAAGTATAAAAAGGGAGGGAGGGAGGAAGGAAGGAAAAGAGACGGAGGGAGGGAGAAATGAAGGGAAGGGAAGACTGAAAAAAGAAAGAAAAAGTATAAGAAAGAGGGAGGGAGGAATAAAGGAAGGAAAAGAGACGTAGGGAGGGAGAAATGAAGGGAAAGGAAGATTGAAAAAAGAAAGAAAAAGTAAGAAAAATGGAGGGAGGGAAGAAGAAAGGAAGGAAGGAAAAGAGATGGAGGGAGGGAGAAATGAAGGGAAGGGAAGATTGAAGAAAGATAGAAAAAGTATAAAAAGGGAGGGAGGGAGGCAAGAAAAGAGATGGAGGGAGGGAGAAATGGAAGATTGAAAAAAGAAAGAAAAAGTATAAGAAAAATGGAGGGAGGGAGGAAGGAAGGAAAAGAGACAGGGAGGGAGGGAGAAATGAAGGAAAGGAAAGAATGAAAAAAGAAAAAGTATAAGAAAAAGGGAGAGAGGGAGGGAGGAAGAAAGGAAAAGAGAGGGAGGCAGAAATGAAGGGAAGATTGAAAAGAAGAAAGAAAAAGGAGAAAAGGGGAGGGAGGGAGGAAGGAAGGGAAGAAAGAAAACATGAGTGGGAGAGGGAAGGAAGACCCACCCACCCACCCCAGTCAGGCAACCTCAGATTCCCTGGCCAGTGTTCCCAAGGGGGGGGAGGCCTGAAACCGCCAAGACCCATTTTTAGAAACCGACTTCAGTCCGACCTCAAGGAACGATCTCCGAAGGTGACATGAGCACGTGGCCCTGAGCACGGAGAGTCACATGGGGGGGACCCATTAAAATGCAAGACACTTTTACACACAACACACACACACACACACACACACACACACACACACACACACACACACACGGAAAAGCTGCCCATCAACCTTGCTTTCATTGGGGACCCCTCTGCACTGGCCACCAAATCTATTGCTTATTGTATGTATGTATGTATGTATGTGTGTGTGTATGTATGTATGTATTTAGGCCAAAGCAATTCAAAATTAAAAGAGTTCAAAAGGAAAATGCTGCTAAAAACTGGGAAATAAAAACAATCTTTTCCATTTTTACAGATTTCGTTCGACCTGCCGTGTTTATTTGATCATTGAGGATTTCAAATGTTTTTTTTTAAAAAAAATATTTTTATGCCACTTTAAAGACTCGTCGACTTCAACTCCCAGAATTCCTCAGTCAGCCCTGCTTCAAACTTGGCCACTTTAAAGACTCGTGGATTTCAACTCCCAGAATTCCTCAGTCAGCCCTGCTTCAAACTTGGCCACTTTAAAGACTCGTGGATTTCAACTCCCAGAATTCCTCAGCCAGCCCTGCTTCAAACTTGGCCACTTTAAACACTCGTGGACTTCAATTCCCAGAATTCCTCAGCCAGCCCTGCTTCAAACTTGGCCACTTTAAACACTCGTGGACTTCAATTCCCAGAATTCCTCAGCCAGCCCTGAGGGCTGGCTGAGGAATTCTGGGAGTTGAAGTCCACAAGTCAAAGGGGCGAAGTTTGAAGACCCCCTACTTTTACCTAATCAAAATTTAACAGTATTTCTGAAGGTTGATGCCTTTCAGCCGTGTGGACTACAACCCCCAGAATTCCCCAGCCAGCAAAGCCAGCCAATGGGGCAAAACTCACTTAGCGACCGAAATCTGGGCCTCCATTTTGGCTGTAAATCAAGAACTACCTTTACCAGCAAGCAAAGTTGAATATTTCAGGTTTTTTTTTTTTAAAGGATGGACACACAGAAAAAGAAGATATAAGGTGGATACCTGTCGGCTGGGGAATTCTGGGAGTTGAAGTCCAGACGACTTCAACTTCCCAAGGTCTAGCCACATTGATTGGCTAGCTATTTCAGAAGCCCTTGGCACTCATGGGGCAAAATCTCAGTATCACCACAACAAGGCAGTCCTCGGCTTACGGCCACAATGGAGCCCAACATTTACGTGGCAGAGTGAAACTTTGTTTTGTCCCGCTTTACGACTTTTCTTGCCACCGTTCTTAAGCGAATCATTGCAGGGTTAAAAGTGAGTAACCCGGCCGTTAAGTGGATCTGGCTTCCCCCCATTGACTTTGCTTGACAGAAGGTCGCAAAAGGGGATCTCGTGACCCCCCCGGGGACAGTGCGACCGTCATAAATGTGAGTCAGGTTCTCCTGCTTGAGCAGGGGGCTGGACTAGAAGACCTCTAAGGTCCCTTCCAGCTTTCTATTCTATTCTATTCTATTCTATTCTATTCTATTCTATTCTATTCTATTTCTATATTTATTTCTACTCTATTTCTTATTCTATTCTATTCTATTCTATTCTATTCTATTTCTATATTTATTTCTACTCTATTTCTTATTCTATTCTATTCTATTCTACTCTATTCTATTCTATTCCATTCTATATTTTGTTATTCTATTCTATTCTATTCTATTTTTTCTATTCTATTGTATTGTATTCCATCCTCTATTCTATTCTATTCTATTCTATTCTATTTTATTCTATTCTATTCTATTCTATTCTATATTTTCTATTCTATTCTATTCTATATTTTCTATTCTATTCTATTCTATATTTTGTATTGTATTGTATTGTATTGTATTCTATTCTGCGATGCCAAGTGTCCAGATACTGATCACGTGACCATAGGGGAGACGCTGCAAGTGTGAAAAACGGTCCAAAATCACCTTTTCCAGCCCGGTTGTAACTTTGAACGTCACTAAACGAACTTTCTGTAAGAAAACGCTCCTTTACACACCGCTCCGCCATTACCAACCAGCGACGCCACAACAAATCAAACCATAAATGGATAAAAATGCCCTCTTTAACGGAGGGCAGCGTCGTCCCCGAATTCCATGAGATCTAGAAACACGCTGGATCGGATTTATCGATTCCCAGATATAAAGCTACTTTACGAGATTTCTCCCGGACGCCGGACCTCCCTTCCCCCCCCCCCCCCCCGCCTCCGACCAGCCAGCCTGGTTCCTCCCCACCCGCTCGTCCACTGTCAATCAAATCACATCAAAACCGTGACAGCCCATAAAACCTCGGATTAGAACAGGAGCTACGAAACTCGCCGTGCCGGATTTCTTGGGGAAAACGTCTCGCTGCTCAGTTTTATTTTATTTTATTTTAGTTTTCAACTGTCGGGCGGGGGGGGGGTTCACGTGCCCAGAGCATGCACGCATGCATGCACACGACCGGTTCTGGAAGGCTGACCTGTGTGTTTAAGGTGTGTGTGGGGGGGATGGGAGTCCAGCAAAGCCCTTTGCACGTGCTCAGGGGCACAGAAAACACCCCGAGAGACCCTTGGCGGGCCCCGCCCCTTGCCCGCAGCGCAAGGAAGCCGGAAGCCATTTGCAACAGAGCGCCCGCGGGCGCCGAAGCTTTCCCGAGGAAAACTGGGGTGGGGGATCGATGCAAGAGGCTGGGGAGATTAGACGACCCCCCTCCCGGCCTGGCAGAGTCTTCCTCTCGCCCTCCCCCGCCACAAATCACCTTCACCGCCTCTTCCTCCTCCTCCTCCTCTTCCTCCCTTCGGATCTGCTGGAAGCCGGCTGGCATCTTCCCTGCAAGGGGGGGGGGTCTTTTGAGGCTGGGGTCGCGGCCGTCGAGGAGTTTAGTCCCAAGGCTGGCGGGGGAAGTCCCAAGGAGTCCGGGCGAGGGGGCTGCCCGCGAGGCCAGGAGGCGCTTGGAAAGCAGCGAGCGGGGGGTCCCGCGCCCGGCTGGCGAGTCCCGGGCTGCGGCCAGGGCAGGGCAGGGCACCCTGGTGCCCCCGCCCTCGCTCGCTCATTGGGCCCGCCCCCCCGGGGGGGAGGGGGCAGAGGTTGAACTTGAGGGGGGCGAGCTCAGAGGGAGGCGGGGTGGCCGAGAGACACCCCTCCCCCCAATTAGTCCCGCGCGGGTCTCCTTGCGCTGGCCAACGGAGCGATCCTAAGCAAGAATTAGGATAATAAGTACTGTTGCGTTGCTGTCGATTTCGCGACCCCACACCTCGTCCACCAGGGAGCGGGGTCGCTCGAGCATCCCCCCCCCCACATTCCTGAGCCTTATTTATTTATTTATTTATGAGACTTATATACCACTTTAAGTGCAAGCACTCTCTAAGCGGTGTACACAGTAAGCAATGTATAGATAGATAGATAGATAGATAGATAGATAGATAGATAGATAGATAGATAGATAGATAGATAGATAGATAGATAGATGGATAGATAGATAGGTAGGTAGGTAGGTAGGTAGGTAGGTAGGTAGGTAGGTAGGTAGATAGATAGATAGATAGATAGATAGATAGATAGATAGATAGATAGATAGATAGATAGATAGATAGATAGATAGATAGATAGATAGATAGATAGATATTTACATTGCCCCCAACAATCTGGGTCCTCATTTTACCTACCCCGGAAGGATGGAAGGCTGAGTCAACCTTGAGCCGGTGAGATTTGAACCGCTGACCTGCTGAACACAGTCAGCTAAACTGGCCTGCAGTACTGCACCCTAAATGCTGCGCCACCTCGGCTCCTTTTTCCCCCCTTCACAGCAACCCCGCCAGGTAGGCCAGGCTTCCATCCGTGGCTCGGACTGCCAATGAGGATCGAGTCTGTGGGGGGGGGTGCGGGGAGGGATAGTATGGGATACCGACTTCCAAGGTCTTTACCCACGGGACCCCTCCCCATGCTTGCTCTGCTCTATAGAAGCAGCGCCCCCCCCCTTTAATCGCCCCGTGAGAGAGAGAGAGAGAGAGAGAGAGAGAGAGATATGGACAGACGGACAGACAGAGATAGATATGGATACATGGATGGATAGAGATAGATAGATAGATAGATAGATAGATAGATAGATAGATAGATAGATAGATAGATAGACAGACAGACAGACAGACAGACAGACAGACAGACATAGATATTGATGGATGGATGGATAGAGATAGATAGACAGACAGACAGACAGACAGATATAGATATTGATACATGGATGGATGGAGAGATAGATAGATAGATAGATGATAGATAGACAGACAGACAGATAGACAGATAGACATAGATATTGATACATGGATGGATGAATGGATGGATGGACAGACAGACAGAGATAAATGATAGATGGAGACAGACAAACACATAAAATAAATCATGTACGAACAAGTAAATAATAAGCAATAACTAAACAACAAACGGAATAAACAGATTAAAGAATAAATGTAATGAATAAACTTGATAAAGAACAAATGAATGAAGAAGAAATAAATAAAAGAACTGAGTAAGTAAACAAATAAGTAGACAATGTCTACACAATCGAATAGTAAGTGAATAAACAAACTGCACAAATAAACAAAAAATAAAGAAAGAACGAATAAAAGAACAAGGAAGAAATAAATGACAAAGAACGGACAAAGGGACCATTAAGAAAAACAAAGAAGAGAACAACGAATAAGCAAACGATAAACAGACAAGCAACAAATGGGAGATATAATTGTGCTGGTTAAGGTAGCCTTGTTTGGGGGGGGGGGAAATCTATCTGGTTCTTAAGGAGACCAAACCAGGTAGGCTTTACTGGTTCCCCCCCCCCACTTCAAAAGTTAACCCTTCACCCCAAAAGCAGCTAGGAACAACCAGGCGGAAAAAAGCTCCATTTTAATTTAATTAATTTTAATTTAATTTTCTATCTCTCTCTCACCCCCTTCTCCCCCCTTGAAACCCAGCCTATCGACTCACGGGGGGGGGGTCCAGTTCAGACAACCCCCTCCCCCTAACCCGGGTCAAGAAAACACCCCCACCCTTCGCGCAACAGCTGAAGCCTGATGACTGAGCAGCCCAGGGCAAGGCAAGGCAAGCAGGTGGATGGTGGGAAGGCAGCCAGTCTGACTTTTTTGGGGTGGGGGGGGCTGTCAAGGCGTGCCAACCCACGCACTACGGTCACGGGATGGCACAGCTGCCCGCAGGCCATGGGGAGGGGGGACAGGGGGGGGTCCGTAACTTGAGCCCCAGGACAAAAAAAGAGGAAGGGAACAGGTCCCAGGTCTTGTGCTTGCTCCTTCTTCAGTGGCCTTTAGAGAAAGACCCCCCCCCCATGCATGTGCCCTTCGGATATGCCACCCCCCCCCCTCCCCAAGGACCCTCCGGCCACATGAGGGCGTCTAGGCCGGGTCCCAAAATAACCTGCAAGGACAGCCTGGCAGAATCAAGTGGAGCCGAGTGCGAGAGTCCTGGCTTAGCCTAAATTGAGTGTGGGGGGGGGGCAGAGGCTGAGCAGGTGCTAAAGGGGGCCAGGGGGGAGGGTTCGTCTGGAGGGGAAGAAAAAGCCCCCTCCCCAAATCCTTGCCCGCTCGGACTGTCCGTCTCCAAGCAGTTCTTGGCTTTGTCAGCGAATTTAAGAATTCCTTTTGCGCCCGTCATCTGAGAAACTGGAGAGATAAGTCTTGCTTTGGGCTTCAGAGGTCATCCAGTCCAACCCCCTCTTCCGATCGGTCACAAGCATCCGGGAGAGGTGAAAACGCAGGCCTTCGAGGGGCGAGCTCGCTTTTTAAGGAGTCAAACGGTCGGTCGGCCCGTTCGGACGCTTGGCGGCCGACTCATATTTACGATGGTGGCAGCATCCGGGGGGGGGGATCACGTGATCCCCCCTTTTGCGACCAAAGCCGGATTTGCTTAACGGCCGTGTGACTCATTTAACATCTGCAGCGATCCGTTTAACAACGGCGGCAAGAAAGGCCGTAACAAGGGAGCAAAGCTCCCTGTTAAGTTACTGTCTCGCTTAGCGACGGAAATTTTGCACATCAATTCGAAGACGGCCGGTATAGTTTTCTTCCTATCTGCGGCCTCAGTGGTCTCTTCTGCAGGCTAAACCCTTTCGGGTCTCCCAAACCTCCCCGGTGGGGCTGGGTCTCCCGACCATCTTGAAATCCCCTCTCTGACCTCCCAGTTCAGTCCTCGGCTTACGACGACAACCGGGACCAGAACTTTGTCGTTAAGTGAGGCCCGCCCGATTTTACCATCTTTTTTGGCCATCGCTGTTAAGCAAATCGCCACCGTCCTTAAGTGAAGCACGTGGTCGTTAAGCGAATCGGGCTGCCCCCCCCCTCCTTTGGAATTCGCCCGCCGGGACGGTCACGTGACCCCGGGACGCTGCAACCGTCGCAAACCCGCACGCCCAAATTTTGATCGCGTGACCCAGGCTGCGACGGTCGTAAGGGCGAGGACCGGCTGCTAAGTCGCTTCTCTCAGTGCTCTCGTCGCTCGGAACGGTCGCGGGAAGAACGGACGTAAGTTGGGGACTGCCTGGATTTATTTCTCTCTCCCCCTTTCGAAGCGGGGGGGCTGTGTAGAGGCGAGAGGGGAAGGGTCTCTTGCCCCCCCCCGGGGTTTTAGGCCGCTGTTCTTGCCCCCCCCCAAATAGCGCTGGCCTTCCCAGTGGCCTCTGCGTCTTGCGCTGGGCTCACGTTCTGCCTGGGCTGGCCGGGTCAGGACAGAGAGACCCTCTGCACGTGTCCAGAGGCCGTGCCAGACCCCCCCCCTCCTGGATCTGCTCTTTCGCTTGTTTTGGGGGGGGGGAGAACGTCATTTCGGCCTCTGCTTTAATCCCAGTGGGAGCCTTTGGCCTCTCCAGCTTCTCAGCTGTCGGTCATGTCCAGTGCCTGCTTTTGGGGGGGGGGTCATCTGCAGCTTTGGTCAGCCCCACCACCCCCAGCATCTTTGGCCATATGGATGGATGGATTGATCTCTCTCTCTCTCTATCCTTTCTCTCTCTTTCTATCTATCCTCTCCCCATCTTTCCTCTCTCTATTCCCCCCTCCTCCCTCTATCTTCCCCCCCTCTCTCTATATATATATATCCTCTCTCTCCATCCATCCATCATCTCTCTCTCTCTCTATCTCTTTTTCTCTCTCTACCCTCTCTCTTTCCCCTCTATCTATCTATGCTCTCTATCCTCTCTCTATCTTCTCTCTCTCTATCCCTGTCTATCATCTATCTTTATCATCTCTCTCTCTCTATCGTCTGTCTGTCTGTCTATCATCTATCTATCTCTATCTATCTATCTATCTATCTATCTATCTATCTCATATCTATCTATCTATCTATCTATCTATCCCTGTCTAACATCTCTCTATATCTCTATTTCTATCTATCTATCTATCTATCTATCTATCTATCTATCTATCTATCTATCTATCTATTCCTTTCTATCATCTCTCTATCTAATATCTATCTATCTAATATCTATCTATCTATCTATATCTATCTATCTATCTCATTATCTATCTATCTATCTATCTATTCCTATCATCTATCTAATATCTATCTATCTATCTTATCTATCTCATATTTATCTATCTCATTATCTATCTCATATCTATCTATCTCATATCTATCTCACTATCTATCTATTCCTGTCTATCATCTATCTATCTAATATCTATCTATCTATCTCATATCTATCTATCTCATATCTATCTATGTATCTATTCCTATCATCTATCTAATATCTATCTATCTATCTATCTCATATCTATCTATCTCATTATCTATCTATCTCATATCTATCTATCTCATTATCTATCTATCCATCTATCTCATATCTATCTATCTCATATCTATCTATCTCATTATCTATCTATCCATCTGTCTATCTATCTCATATCTATCTATCTCATATCTATCTATCTCATTATCTATCTATCTATCTATCTATCTATCTATCTATCTATCTCATATCT